AGTTACATTCCCAGTTCTTTTTATGTATTTTTAAATTTTGAGACAGGATCTTGCTAAATTGCTGAGGCTGACCTTGAATTTGCAATCGTCCTGCCTTAACCTCTTGAGTCACTGGGATTACAGGTGTACACCAATACACCTGGCCTTTCTACTTACTATTTTGAATTTAGTTCCTTGTCCCAGCCTCTAGGATTAAGTTTTGGCCCAGGCTGGACTAGGCCAAGGACTTGTAGCAAAACCAGAGAGTATGGCCCGGGGCTCTGCTTGTTCATATCCTTTTATCTCCTGTGGATCCTAGGGGAGGGAACGTTTAGTATTGGGTAAACATTAGCCAAAGACTCTTGCCTCTCATATACAATTTTTTTAAAATATATTTTTTTTTAGTTGTAGATGGACACAATACCTTTATTTTGTTTATTTTTATGTGGTGCTGGGATAGAACCCAGTGCCTCATGCTTGCTCAGCAAGCACTCTACCACTGAGCCACAACCCTGGCCCCATCATATACAATTTTAGAAAAAGGAAAAAAGAAGGGGAAGGAAGAGGTTGAACTAAAGCACTCCCTCAACAATAAGAGACCCTTGGGGATGCTTGGCTGAACCCAGCCCAGAACCCAGATGAAAACAGAGATGTAAAATGTCAGCACCAGATAACTCTCAGAGATCACCCATGCAACTCCCTCATTGCACAGATGGGGAAACTGAGGCCAAGGACATCTCACTACTGTCAATCCTTTCTTCCTGGAAGTTCTGCCCACACAGGTTTGGGGTTGAGGAAGTTGTAACATTTCCTCTTCTAGGTTCCCACAGTCAAGGCAGGGAGATAGGGGATTCCCTTCTGAAGTCCAGGAGGTTTGGGTCCTAGCTCCACTTCACCACCTGCCTGGGGAACACCAAAAGAAGTGGGGAACTATGTATGGCTAGCTGAGTAGGTGGATTCGTCATAACAACAATTAGGGAGGTGGAAGGCTTTCAGCGGGCTAATTATGTGGGCTAGGTCTCAGCCTAGTAAACTTCCTTAGGTGTTTGGCATCTTTATGTGAGAACTCCAAAGATAAGAGAAACTAGGTACAAAGAAGTGCCATCCTGGCAACCCTGAGGATGGGATGTGCAAGGAGAGCCCGTAAAGGACAGGGGAAGAGAGCCACTGAAGACAAGTGGTAGATTCCAAAGCTGCTGGGACCACCTAGTCACCAGGCCCATGGACAGATCAGTCATCAGCCCTCCTGCTAATCAATAGACACTCCCAAACATTGACCAGAGGTGGACAGGGAAGGTCACCTCTGCTGGGCACTCTGCATGGGCACAGGCTGGTGGGTCTAATTGTGCATTATTAAAATGATCTGAAGCTCTGGATACAAAGGTCAAAGCTACAGTACACAAAGGGAATATCTGCAAGTTAAGCCCAGATATTATAAACAAAACGGTGGGGATCAAAGGTGGCACTCTGGGCTGCCAGCAAAGCTCCCCCTCTGCACCCTGTGAAGCCCTCAAAAGGACTGTTTGGTATTCTGTATGCCTGGATCCTCCACTCAGCTAACAAGTATATATTAAGCACCTACCCTCAGCAGGCTCTGGGAAGATTCCCAGATTAAAAAGATACTGTCCTGTTTGGCCCAGTGGCACACACCTGTAATCCCAGCTACTCAGGAGGCTGAAGCAAAGGATCACAAGTTCAAGGCCAGCCTGGGCAATTTAGTGAGACTTAGTCTCAAAATTGAAAAAAAAAAGGGGGGGGCCCTAGGGACTGTAGCTTAGTGGTAGAGCCCTTCTGGGTTCAATCCCCAGGGCCAAATAAATAAAAAATACAGTCCTTGCTTTCAAGAAGACCCTTGATCTAGCAGCTAGATGCCACATCTGAGAACCAGACATCCCATTTTGATCAAGACAGTCTCAGTTTCCCAGGAACACCACTTCCTATTTCTCAGTGTCATTATTAATAGTGCCTACTTTAATTCTCAAAACTGTCCTGGTTTGAATGGCAAAGTATTTGGTAACCTGAACCACAGCACAATGTTATGGGTAATGCTGGATAAAGTTGGGAAAGTAGGTGTAGCTCCTATTGAAACCACAATGGAGATTGGGATGTAGCTCAACAGCAGAGAGCTAGCAATGGAAAAACATTGGTAAGCCAGGTGCTTGGGTGTATACCTGTCATCCCAGATAGGATAAGGGTCTCAAGTTCAAGGCCAGTCTGGGCAACTTTGAGACAAAAACCCTGTCTCAAAATAAAAAATAAAGAGTGTAGCTCAGTGGTAGAGCACTTGCTTAGCATGTGCAAATTCTATATACTATATGGTAAAAACATCTCTCTAGAAAGGTACAAAAGAATTGGTAACCTTGGTAGGTTGGCTGGAGACCAGTGAGACTTCAATGTATATCCTTTTTACTTTTTGGAGTTTGAACTGTATGAATGTATTGTGTATTTAAAATTCTTTTAAAATTAGGTATTTAATTAAATAAATGAGTGAATTAATTCTCAAGAGCACCTTGATTCTTCTGCCTCAGCTTCCTGAGTGACTTGAGATTACTGGTATGCACCACAGCAGCACCTAGCTTCAGAGTCCCTCCTGAGTCTGCCCATATGATTCTCTAACCTCCTCATTTAAATCCTTTGTAATCTTTAAAATCAATTTAGACCAGACTGCCCAGAAGAACTTCCTGAATGCTTTCCCTAACACTAAGCTTTGTGTAAGGACATTATTCTGCAGAGTTGGACATTGCTGTGTGTATCTCACTTTACCCACCAGATTGAAATTTCTTCTCAGTAGGGAGTGGGCCTGGTTCACCTCTGGTCTTCCTTTAGCACTGAACTCTTGAAATCTGTTTGAAAGAATCAGTGAATCAGGAGCCCCATTAATGTTTTATGCTTTGTGAAGGGCTTTGATGACCACCATTTCCTCTCAACAGCTAGGTAAGGCTATACAGATGGGTGTTTTTATCTGATAAAGAAAGGGGGTCTAGCTCAGAGCATGCCTTAAAGCCCTAGGCTTGATCCCCAGCACCTTAAAAAGGAAAGGAAGAAGGAAGGAAGCAAGCACCAAAGATTCAGTAATCATAATCAAGTGATTTGCTCAAGTTCACAAAACTCTGAGTAGAGGGTGTCAGGTACAGATTTCTAACCCAATTCAGTGGTAGGTTCACACATTATCCTGTCTGCCTGCCCTCTATGTACATCTAATAGTAAGATCTTGTTCTCCTTTCCAGCCTGCTTATACAACAGTTCTAACTCCCTCTAGTTCAGCTCAGTCCCTCTCCCCCCTTACATGGTAGCCAGAGGGATCATTCTGAAATCTTATCACTTCTCACCTCCCTTTCTCTTGCATAAAGGCTTCCTCCTTTCACCACTCCTCTTCTCTCCACCTGCACTCCAGGGCAAAGTCTACTTTCCTTTGCAATATTCCAAGGGCCTAGGCAGCCTCCCACTCCCAGCCTATCTCTGCAGCTTTGGTCCCCAATCTCTCCCAATTTCCATTAGATCCTGGCAAATGTAAAAAATATGCTTCCAGGGGCTGGGGATGTGGCTCAAGTGGTGGCGCACTCGCCTGGCATGCGTGCAGCCCGGGTTCCATCCTCAGCACCACATACAAACAATGTCTGCTGAAAACTAAAAAATAAATGTTGAAAAATTCTCTCTTTTTATATTATATATATATATATATATATATATATATATATATATATGCTTCCAGCAGAGTGTAGTGCAAATGCCTGTAATCTCAGTGACTCAGGAGGCTGAGGAAGAAGGATCACAAGTTCAAGGCCAGCCTGGGCAACTTAGACAGACCCTGTATCAAAATTAAGAAAATAAAAAGTGTTGTGGGGCTGGGGTTGTGGCTCAGTGTTAGTGTGCTTGTGTAGCCTGTGTGAGGCCCTGGGTCCAAGCCTCAGCACCACATAAAAATTAAATGAATAAAATAAAGCTATTAAAAAAAAAAGGGTTTGGAATGTAGTTCAATGAGAGTACCCCTGAATTCAATTCAGTAGTGCAAATTAAGAAAAAGAAAATCTTTTTAAGTGCTTCATAAGGGCTTCCTGGGCCTATGCAGGGAAGACTCTCCCCACTCTCTGCCTGGACAACTTCAACTCACAGGTAAGGCCTGGTTGAAATGTTACCCCGGGCTGGGTGGTAGCTCAGTGGTAGAGATGTGCTTAGCAAGCATGTGGTTCTGGGTTCCATCCTTAGCGTCCCACACCGGAACAATCTCTGATCTCACTCACTCTCCAGTCCCACCAAGCCAACAACAACAACAACAACAAAATACAAACTACTGTAAATTGCCTAGGCTATGGATTTAGGCTGCTCTCTGTGTGACCTTGGCCTCAGCTTCCTCTGCTGTAAAATGAGGATGGCAGCCTGGAAGAGGGCACCTATCTTGTGAGGTTGTAAGGACGTTGATACGGAGGTGCCCAAGGTGGCTCAAGACAAAATGTGGTGAATTCATTTCTTAAACTTCATTGCCATTAGTCACCCTCACCCTTGCCTCTGGTGACCATGCTCTGGACTGCTTTGCATTCCCTCCTCAATAATCCAGACGCAACGAGTCTCATTCCTTCATTAGGAAAGGGCATGCTCGGAGAGAAGGGTGCTGAGGGTCACGCTAATACCGCAAATTAGAAACCCGCGGTACTTTTGGAAGATTTGCAAAATGAAGCAGAGGGTCATTGGGGGAGGGGGGCGTTAGCTATAGTTAGGCCTGGACTAGTCTCCACCCAAGGTCACGGCGCCCGCCCAACGGGCAGCCAGCTGCAGGAACGTCTCCCCGAAGCCCCGCCCCTCGAGAGGGCCGAAGTCTCCCTCCTTTGAGTAAGGATTCGTTGCCTTTAAGGCTTTCCGGAAAGTCACCGCACCCGTGGACTGGCAACAAGGCGCGGCGCTTTTTGTCCCTCGCCGGCCTCCGTGGGCCGGGCCGGGCGCGAGGGCGGGGCAGGGGAGCGGCGGTGAGGTCAAAGGCTACAGCGCGCACCACGTGGGCCGGTGACTCCGTCCTTCCCGCAGCGGCGGCCGCGCGCAGGGCACTTGGGTTAGTGGCGCGGCGGGCGGCGCGGACAGCCTAACCGGACGCCCGCTCCCGCCACCATGGTCATCAAGACGGACGAGTTGCCGGCGGCCGCCCCGGCCGACAGCGCCCGGGAGCATGGCTCGCAGACCGGTGGCAAGGGGAGGCCGGGCGCGGCCGGTGAGCGGGGCCGGGACCAGCGGGCAGCCGGGCGGGGGGAACCGGACCTGGACGGACGGGTTCGGGACTCCGCGGGGACCGCCGTCTTCCTTCTGCGCCTTGCTCCGTTGCATCTCACTGGGCCCTCCGCCGGCCGCCCCCGCTCTGAAGGTCACCTTCACTCTCGCCCCCGGCTGCGGCCCGGGCTTCGCACGTGGGGTCCCGGGGAGGGCAACCGCGGCGGGCACACGCGCGTCAGATCGTGGGGACACGTGCGCGCACACGCGGTTTCAGGGTGCGCCGCCGCCGCAGAAAGACGGAATCGGCGGCCCCACCCCCTCCGCCCTGGAGCATGGGTCCCCTCTGGGTTGGGGCTTTCTGACACTTTCGGCCTAAGCTCTATAGGTTCTCTTTCGCATCAGTCTGCCAGATATTCCGTGTGCAGCAGCACTGCAGCCCTGCCAGTGAAACTCGGCTTGACAATTCCCAAGCTGGTCTGTGGGAAGAACACACGAGTAGGGGGTGTGTGTGTTGTGAGGGGCCTTCTCTGGTTCATTCCTAGAGACAAGGGCTTAACCCTAGATCTTGGGCTGTGATCTTTGCCCACTTAGGTGTTGGCCTGGTCTTCTGATCTGAAGGGTCTGTCTGTGTGTGGGGGCAAAGCTATGCTCTCTGGCAGGGGGAGGTGTTTATGCTAGAACTTGATCATTAACCTGCCTTATTGCGAAAAGTGGGTCAGACCAGAGTTGCTTTTTTTAAGGCAAAGGTCATTAGCGTGGAGTGGAGCTCCCAGCTCTTCCCCAAGGGGGCTGTGTAGCGGTGGCTTTGGGAATGGCTGTAGCTAGCCTGGGGTGGGGCCTGCTTCTCTCCATTTCATCTGGTCCCCTTCTGTTTTTTTTTCATCATGCCCCAGACTGCAGTCCTTAGGCTGGAAGCCCCTTCACAGCCTTTCACTTGTCATTTCCTCAAATCTTCCTGGTGGCCCAGGGCTGAACCTCTCTACCCTGAGTGGCAGTGGAAGTGTAGAGTTACCCTTATTTCCTGCTCCCTCCAACCCTCATCATCATGTCCCTTCCCAGCTTCAGTGAGCAGGCTGGGGCTGACTTGGGAGTCCAGATGGGGGTAACACTGGGTAGGTTCTCATCCTGACTTGGGAGTCAGGATGGGACAACACTGGGTGGGACACTGTGATGTCCCTATCATGGTGGATTTACCTTGATGGGAGAGCAGGTACTATGGCAGCTTTGCAGATTGCTTAGACAAGGCCAGGGTTTGGGCAGAACAAGAAATGCTGATAACTCCAGCCTACCAGGCTTGGCCCTGATGCAGTTCTGAATCAGTGGGCGGGCTAGATAAGAGAAGGTTGGGGCTGGCTGGTTTCCCCTCCAGAAAGAGACCTGAAGTGAGTTGCCCAAGGTCACATAGTAATTTAGTTATTGAGGGAAGCATTTGGATTTCCAGGTCATGGCCAGCATTCCAAGGCTGCCCAAGCCTGGCCCACAGGAAGCTAGGACAGACATGGGGCTTTGAATTATGTGCTGAGAACTGAGGAGTTAAAGAGAATTTCTGTGAAAGCCAGAGTGAAGCTCCCTTCTCAGGTGTGCTGAGGGACTGTTTCTGGGGGAAGCCTGGGTCAGCGGAGGGGCACAGCTGTCCATCTTGGAGAAACTGGGGGCATTTTAGTGGGAGGACCTTGGCCCCCGCATCCCAGGGAGGTTAGTCTAGAAAGCCAGGACTTGCATTACAGCCAGTCTGGATCTGTTAAAAGAAGGAGAGAGCTTTATTGGAAATCCTTCTCCCCTAGACTACCTCCCAGCCCTTAACCTCAGTTCCCAGCTCTAGAAGATTCTCCAGTCACCTTAAGGAGGAGACGATCAAGGTCTTGGGAGCAGGTAAGGGTCTGTTACCTTCTTAGGAATAAAGCAGCTTTTAGGGGTTAAGAGAACAGGCAGGTTTTTCAAGTTCACAGTGGTGTGTCGAGTTCCTTCTGCCTAGGGGAGAAGGAACTAGGGCTCTCTAAGAGTTGGGGCCAAGAGGGGGAAGAAAAGAGAGCTGGCAGACGAGGGAGGAGTTCAGGGGCTTATAAGCTCCCTCAAAAGGATTCTAAAACTCTTCTCATGAATAGGGTCTGGGCAGACAGCTTAAGGAACTATGGACTAGCCTCAGACCTTGAAGTGGGACATGAAGACCTGGGTGGGACATGAAGAGGCAAAGGTACTGGCTTCCCCAGGGTCTTCACAGGCTTCCTGACTGCCCCTGCAGCCTGAAATTCTGGATCCAGTGTCTTTTGGGACCTTGCTTCCTGCTGCAGCCTCACCTGCTGAGGTGTGGCCTGGCCCTGGCATGTCTCCTGAAGGAGACCATTCCAGGCTGAAGAGGCACACAGACACTAGCCACTCATTCTTTTCTAACTCTTGTCTGCAGCTAATGGGACTTCTGTGTTCCCAGGCCAAGGCAGGATAGGCTTTGTCTCTTCACTTTAATCTGCCTAGTTAAGACATAGGATGTGCACAGAAGACATAGGATGTGCACAGAATGCTGTTTGTGGACAACCTTATCCCATTCTGCAGAAGGCTAAATCCCAGACTCTCAGAGGAGGCCCCTGGGATATGAGAGGGGGAGCTGGCCCAGGGCTCTGGAGGCCTGGGGAAATTCTATAGCTACAGATATATCTGCCTTCTGGGCTGAGTCCTGAGGTGTTAAAGAGGAAGAGGGTGAGAAGGTGCTGCAGTCTGATGTCTAGGGAGTAGGACAGCAGATTGTGCTCAGTGGGAGTGGCACTCAGAGGCAAGGGCCTGGGCATCTGACACACCTGGCTTTTTCTTGACCTGGCTTTGCTGCTGCTTGCTTCTGTGACCTTGGACAGCTTGACTGCCTTGTGGAGTCTCAGTTTCCTCAAGTTGAATGGGGTGGTGGATTTGATTTAGGGACCTGCTATGGGCTGGGCCTAGAGTGAGCACTGACTCTATGGTAACTAGAATCTAGGTGATATCAACCTCTGGGTTCATTGCCAGGCTGCCCTACCTCATCCCCTCTTCTAGAGCATTAGGGTATGTTGGGAGAGTGGGTGGGAGGAAAGGGGCTCTGTCAGGGCTTGATGTTTCTTATCTTCTGGTCCTTGTGAGGAGCAGAACCCTTTTGGAACTGTGGAGGGGCTGCTCAGTGGGTCCCTGGGACTGGAGGAGATCCTGGCTCCCTGCCCCCACACTGGTTAGTATGGATGCCGGAGCAGTTCTGACTGGGCCCTGGCAACAAGTCAGAGGCCCTGGGAAGGCGCCCTGGCGAGGCTGGGCATGCTTCTTTTCCACAGCCCAGCGGCCTTCAGCCTCTTGCTGCCAGCTCTGTTTTCCCCAGGGGAGACATTTGATTTTCTCCTGGCAGCGCACAGGCTGCTGGGAAGGAAAGAGAGAGCCTGCCAGCTTCTTGGTGGAGCCCGGAGGCCTGGGGCATGGGTGCAGTTGTCCTCTGGGAGACTGGGGGACCATCCTCCTCTCACCAGGACTAGTGACTCTCAGGAAGGGGCTAGCTGCCAGGTCACCTGCAAGGGACAGCAGGAGCCAGAGGCCCCATCCAGTCCCTTGACCCAGAAAGCAGGCAGGCACTCAGTGTCTGCGACTGGTGGACAGGGGCAGCCACCTCATGGCCTGGGCCCGGGTCTGTGCCAGCTGTTGCTGGCAGCTGGCAAAAGCAGTCTTGCCCACCCCAACTGGGGTTGGAGCTGAGGAGAGGACCCCCTTGCTGAGCTCTTCCTCTGCCAACCAGTACCCCCGGCCCTTGATCCTGAGAGGTCCACGTACCCCAAATGCTGGGTTTTCTTGCTCCCCAAATGGCTTCACCAGCAATGACCCCCTTTCTGGGGGGCATAAAGAAGTGGGCCTGAGTGCTGATAGCAGCTCCTTCTGGGGTCCTGGAGCCACCGGGGCCTCCTGGCCCACAGCCGTCCTTCTGGCCGACCTTGAGCAGGATTCGAGGCAGGGGGAGTGTGCCCTTTCCGGGGCCGCCCTAGCAGGCCTGGCCCCACTGAAACCCGAAGCCAGCCAGAGCTCCAGCTCTGGGCCGACCAGCTGCATTAGGGCAAGGGTAGAGGCAGAGGCTGGAACAAGGGACACAGGCAGTACTGGGCCTGGGCCGGAGGGCTGGCTGCCTTGCTGCCATGGCAGTCCTGAGACTTCAGAACCGAGGAGAGGGCAGCTGCTGACTGTACCAGGTGGGCTGTGGGGGTTGCATGGGGGAGATCATTTGGCCCTAATCTAGTGGTGGGGAGACCTTCAGAGTCTCTTGGAGGAAAGAAGAGAGGTCAGAGCTGGCTGTCCTAGGGGAGAGGAAGACCCTGGGGAACATTCCCTTGATCAGACCAGAAATTAGGTATTCTCCCACCCCTCACCCCATACAGCCCCTTGGCTGGGAAAGGGAGGGGGACCTTGGGCCTACTTTACATCTTCTTTCCCTATTCCATGTCCTCCCTATTCTATACACCCTGCCTATCTGGGTCCAGGTCTGATTCCCTAGTTCTGGGGCCTCACTCTGTATTGGGTGAGGGGTCCTTCCTGTTTCTCCCCTCATTCCCTGGAGTTTGCCAGCCAAAGAAACCTTTCTCAGGGACCCAGTAGAGGGGAAGCTCCTCCTATCTACCATCTCTCTTGCTGCTCTTAGAAAGCTGACCAGCCACCACCCTCTTATCTGTCTACTCTGTCATTAGATGGGCAGGGCTACCCTGCCTGGAGCTGGTGGGTCACTGGAAGGAAAAGATCCTTGTGCATCCTGTGCATTTCAGGAGTTATATTCCAGATTTGGAGAGGGTATGATGGGGAGACAAGGTCAGGACAGATACTGTTAGAGGCCCACAGTGGCCAGAATTGAGGATAGTGAATCAACATGGATTTGCAGCCTTTAGGAATCTGGGGTCCATTCTGGTTTGATGACCTCGGGCCAGGTTTAAACCTTAGATCCCTTATATGGGGTAAGGAGATGGGGACTTACCACCAAGTTGAGGGGTTCATAGAACGGAGGATGGCTTTTCCTTAAGTCCCCTAGTGTCCCTCTGTGGTCTGGGCCAGTCTCCTTTTGTGAGGTCCCTGTTTCACATATCTGGTGTCTCTGGACAGAGGACCGAGGCCACAGAGCTCTGGGGAAATTCACTCAATCTGCTTTCCTGATGGCTGAGTAGGGAAGGGGAAGTGGGTTTGGATAGGATGGGCTGGCATCTGGAACAGAATTCAGTAAGCTGTCCTGTCTGGAAGGGGAACTACCTCTTGACTGTGGGGCCAATCTGAATCTGAGAGATGGACAAACTCTGGGGCCAAGGTCCCCATTTGCCCAATGGGCATCCAGATTGGCATTTGTTTAACTGGAGTGTTTTTGAGAGAAGGTCCTTGACTCCCTAGGGCAGGAAGGCCTCACCTTTGTTTCTTTTAGTTCCTGGGGAGAAATGGGAATTTTTATTCTCTGCTCCTCTCTCCCCATAACATGTGAGTTCAGTACTCTTCACAAATATTGGACTTGGCTATGGGTTTGTGGTAAGTTATTCGTTAATTTGATGTCTTCTCCTTTAGCCTGGGCAAGACAGAAAGTGGTAGATAGAGCTGCTGGCATGAATAACCACCCAGAATGTAGCAAGATGGTGCCCTGGAGTGGTGTGGGTTGAAAGTCTTCCACAGGTGATGGATTCTGCCAGCTAGGGTCCATTGGGCAGGCTTTTGAGAAGGGGCTTCATTCACCTAGCCCTTGAATTTGCCTGGTGGAATGATACATCAAGGGTGGCTTAAGCACTGAGGTTGGAAGAAGGGAGCTGAGAGCTGAGACTGACTTTAAGTAGTACCTAAGAGTGCTAGTCTAAGCTCTTGTCTTGTCAACAGTGGGATTATTAGAAGGGTTCCAGGTGGTGCTCTTAAAATTGAAGAAATGCCTGTACCAGGGCCCTGACTGAAGAAACAGGATCCCATGGGTCAGGTTGGAGAAGTAGGTTGGGTGACTAGATAGATGGTGGGGGCCTTTACAGAGCAGGAATTAGTTTGTGGATGAAGATGAATTCCATCTCCACAAGATGAGCTTTTAGTGATGTGTAAGGGACAACAACATGTGATACCTGGGTATCAATTGAAAAACTTGAGCAAAGCCAGGAATGGCCATGTGAGTTCTGGGCAGAAGGCTATGCGAAGCCAGGTGAGAGGGTGAGGGGAAGTTGAAGAAAGGCTGGGGCTAACCCCACCTCTCAGGATCACCAAAGAGGATGGAGAGGTAGAAACAAGAGTGTCACCTTGGTCAGGGAAGAGGAAGAAGTTCACGGCGATGTTAGTTGTTGTTGAAAAGCCAGACAGGGCTGGAAAAGACCCATGGGCTTGGCCTTAAGGGTGGCATTGGTGAACTTGGGAAGAGTGGTTGCGCAGTGTGCTTAGGAGGAAGCCAGTATATAGTGGACTGGGGAGGGAAGGGAGGGCACAGCATGTGGAAGAGGGAAAGTGGTTGTTTGTAGGTATGTTGGGATGAGGTGGTGTGTCTGGTTAAGGAAGACATGCAGATTCCATGCTATAGGGCACATGCCCAACTCTGTGTCACCTGACCAACGAGACCCATCTGACTCAGCTCTTTTCCTGTCTTCCCCAGAGCCACCATCAGTTATGCTGTTGAATGGGGACTGCCCAGAGAGCCTGAAGAAGGAGGAGGGGGCAGCTGAGCTACCTAGGGAGAATGGGCTAGATGAAGGTGAGCCAGGAGATGAGACTACTGGACAGGAAGTCATTGTCATTCAGGACACAGGCTTTTCTGTGAAGATCCTGGCCCCTGGGATTGAGCCCTTCTCCCTTCAGGTAAGATGGAGAAAGAGGTCTTGGGAACAGGGCCTGAGCTTGCAGAGGACCACCAGCCCAGGAAGCCAAGCCCTGCTCTTACTTGTCCTGACCTCATGTTATAGTCAGGAAGCAGGAGTCCTAGGATCCAGGGGTCCTTGCTTAGGGTCTCAGCTATTGTGGTAGGTGAGGGAATCAAGTCTACGTTCAGGTCATTTATCCGTTGCTAAAGGACATCAACCAGTGGAATTGCCAGCCCTGTTTGGAGAGAGGAGCAGTGTAGCTAGGTGAGATTGGCATGCTCCATGCCCCAGCCTCTTGCTGTGTACCCTCAGTAAGTTACCTCTCTTTGGGCCATAGTTTTACCATCTGCCAGAGGGGCAGGTGGTATTGGATGGTCTCCAAGGGCAGAGCCAATCCAGAGGTCTTTCAAGCTGGTGACTTGTTATGGGATCATGCAAGGCCCTCTTCAGTCATCTATATCCAGGACCTGGGCCCTAGAGTACCCCTTCCAGAGAATGAAGTCCATTTGCCCTGGGGAACCTTAGCATTGGGAGGAGGCAAGACTGCATTTGCTCTCCCCGCTTTTCCATCATAGGCCCTGCTCAGGGATTGCTCTTGGGTGTAGGAATTGTGTGGGGCTGGGCTCTGTTCTACATATATAAACACTGAGGTGTAGATAGATATGGTATATATGGACAGGACTTGGAATGTAAAAGCCCAACAGTGAGAAACTGAGTATTTGGGGCATTTACTCTAGGGACCAGGTACTTTAGCCTGAGGGCAGGAGATATGTATATCCTTGTTCCCCATTATGTGACCTTTCACCAGGGTAGTCTTGTCTTTCTCCCTGGCAGGTATCTCCCCAGGAGATGGTGCAGGAGATCCACCAGGTGCTCATGGACCGTGAAGACACGTGTCACCGTACCTGCTTCTCACTGCACCTAGATGGCAATATGCTGGACCACTTTTCAGAGTTGCGCAGTGTTGAGGGGCTGCAGGAAGGCTCGGTCCTCCGTGTGGTGGAAGGTTGGTCAAGAAGTTGGTGGCCTACTAGAGTACAGCCCCAAGAGGCAGGCCAGACAGCATTCCACCTATCACAACCTAGTCACTGCTGAGCACGTGGAGGTGGGACTAATTGGCACACAGGTCTGCCACTTAGGCCATTTCGCTGTCACTGTCCAGCTGAGTGGTCTGCAGGTTAAAGACCAGAGTCCCGGGGCTGGGGTTGTGGCTCAGAGGTAGAGTGCTCACCTAGCATGTGTGGGGCACTGGGTTCGATCCTCAGCACCACATAAAAAAATAAAGTAAGGATATTGTGTCCACCTACAACTAAAAAAAAAAAATATATTAAAAAAAAAAAAAGACCAGAGTCTCCATATGAAAAAATCAGCCAGTCCCAAGCCAGGCTTATAATCAGCCCTATCAAATTCTGCAAAGATAAATGTTAACTCTTGTAAGGAAATTTAAAAGTTTTATAGCTTTCAAATGAGAAATTTGAGCCCAATACAGATCTGTCAGCTCTGGTGTGAGATGTTTGGTTGTAAAAGAAAAGTTCCACGGGCTGGGGTTGTGGCTCAGTGGTAGCGCTCTTGCTAGCATGCATGAGGTACTGGGTTCGATTCTCAGCACCACATACAAATATATAAAATAAAGGTTCATCAACAACTAAAAAAAATTTATATATATATATATATATATTTTTATAAAGAAAAGGGGCTTGAATAAAAAGGGGGGGGGCGGGGCGAAAAAAAAAAAAAGAAAAGGGGCTGGGATTGTGGCTCAGGGGTAGAGTGCTCGCCTAGCATGCATAAGGCACTGAGTTCGATTCTCAGCACCACATACAAATAAATAAATTTTAAAAAAGAAAAGAAGAAAAGTTCCAGCTGGGGGACTGTAGGACGCACCTGTAATCTCAGAGGCTCAGGAGGCTAAGGCAGGAGGATCACAAGTTCAAAGCCAGCCTCAGCAAAAATGAGGCACTAAGTAACTCAATGAGACCCTATCTCTAAATAAAATACAAAATAGGGCTGGTGATGTGGCTCAGTGGTTTCAGTCCCTGGCAAACCCCCCCCCCCCAAAAAAAAAAAAAAGTTTCTGTGGCCTTTTAGGCTTTTAGGTTCCTAGGGCCTGTCAGCTTTTTAAGAGCAAATATGGAAAGTATCTGTTATTCAGCTGTGTGCATGATTGATCACAGAATGTCTTCCTTACCCCTGTCAAAGAACCACACCATTAAAATCCCATAAAACATATTAAGGGGCACTGTTGAAGTTGGGTGTCCTGTGATGTCAATCCCTAAGAGAAACAGAACCAAGGCTCTGGAAGCTCAGGAGCTATAAAGTCCTTGCCTACTGAGGCATCAGGGAGCAGAAAGCAGGCACTTTGTAGGTTTTCTAAGGTCTTTGTGGTTTTGAGAGGTATTTGGTGGACAGGTTTTTGTGAGAAGGATCCTCGCTCACTTTTCAAGGCAGCTGGGATCGGGTATGGTGTGTGTTTTGAAACCAGAAATATGTGTTCATAGTGGAATTTTTTTTAATACTTTTTAGTTGTCAATGGACCTTTTTTAAATTTATTTATATATCGAACCCAGTGCGTCACACATGCTAGGCAAGTGCTCTACCACTGAGCCACCACCCCAGCCCCTTCATAGTGGAATTTGAAAATGGGAACCTAAAATTGAAAATTTAAACATCCATGAGGCTGGGGATATGGCTCAGTGGTGGAGCATTTGCTTAGCATGCACAAGACCCTGAGTTCCATCCCCAGCACTGCCAAAACAAAAACGTCACTCTCATAGGACCTCTACAAACTCTTTGCTGAGCTAGGTGGGTTGGTCCTGGTCAGGGCTGTGGTAAACCACCTGCCTCTTCCCTCCTGCCAGAACCCTACACAGTGCGGGAGGCTCGTATTCACGTGCGCCATGTCCGAGACCTGCTCAAGAGCCTGGACCCATCTGATGCCTTTAATGGGGTTGACTGCAACTCCTTGTCCTTTCTGAGTGTCTTCACTGATGGCGATCTGGGAGGTGCCGGAAGCATTGGGGCCGGGGAATTGGGCAGAGGGGCAGGGAGCAAGGGGGCCAGGGACTGGTGAAGAGGCTAGGGGCCATGCCTTCCTATCAGGGAGGTTGGGTCCCAGGAATGCACACCAGGGCCATACTGAGGCAGGGAGACAGCTGGTTCCCGGCTGACCACCAGCCTTGGGTCCCTCAGACAGTGGGAAGCGGAAGAAGGGATTGGAGATGGACCCCATCGACTGCACGCCACCTGAGTACATCCTGCCAGGGAGCCGGGAGCGGCCGTTGTGTCCCCTACAGCCCCAGAACCGTGACTGGAAGGTGGGACTGCTAGGGGAATAAGGTCGAGGGTCCCTGTCGGGGGTGCCCAGGAAGATCAGCTACCTCATGCTTGACTGTTCCTGTAGCCCCTTCAATGTCTGAAAGTACTCACCATGAGCGGCTGGAATCCACCCCCTGGGAACCGCAAGATGCATGGGGACCTCATGTACTTGTTTGTGATCACGGCCGAGGACCGGCAAGTCAGCATCACGGCGTCCACGCGGGGCTTCTACTTGAACCAGTGAGCCCCTGCTGAACCCCCAGTTGCCCCCTGTGTGACCCCTGCCCCAGGTCTGAGACAGATGCTCAGAGCACCTGCTCAGTGACCCCTGTCTTTCTGCAGATCCACAGCCTACCACTTCAACCCCAAACCCGCCAGCCCACGCTTCCTCAGCCATTCCCTAGTGGAGCTGCTCAACCAGATCAGCCCGACCTTCAAAAAAAACTTTGCTGTGCTACAGAAAAAAAGGTAGTTCCTTTGTACCTTCTCTGTACCATCCTGTCTCCCATCATGCGTATGAACTGAACAGTAGCATCTTTGCTTGAAGAAGTGGTGCCCATGACCCTCAGTACCTAAGAGTCCCCACTTAAGGGAGATGGCAGTCCTGGGAGAGTTGCCCTCTAGTTTCTGATGCTTCAGGGTGGCATCTCAGGCCCAGAGATGCTGGAACACTGGGGTCCTCAGAAAAAGGACCCTATAACTAGGCTCAGAGCTTGGTAGGCTGCCCATCTCCCCTGCCTGCCACAGGGTCCAGCGCCACCCGTTCGAGAGGATCGCCACCCCGTTCCAGGTGTACAGCTGGACAGCTCCTCAGGCAGAGCATGCCATGGACTGTGTACGTGCAGAGGATGCCTACACCTCAAGACTGGGCTACGAGGAACACATTCCTGGACAGGTGCAGCAGTACCCTCCTGGGCTTCCCTCCCCTCCTGGTGCCCTGCTGGTTCCATGCATTTCCAAAGAGGCTTCATTTGCTTCTCCATTCACTTGGGAGTCTGGGGGGCTGTCTGCAGGAGGTGGATAAAGACTGTTCAGAGTAGGTCATGGGGCACCAGGCTAAGCCTGCATCTGTCTCTTTCCCTTTTTCAGACTCGGGACTGGAACGAGGAGCTACAGACAACTAGGGAGCTGCCCCGCAAGAACCTGCCTGAGCGGCTTCTTCGAGAAAGAGCCATATTCAAGGTGTCCCTACCCCCTCATGACTGTCAGGCCCACCTGCCACTTGCCAGCTTTTCTTATGGTCAGGAGGAAAGCTGTGGAAGCTGGGACACCCATCCCTGTCAGCTGCCTGAAGGCTGGTCTGGGTACCTACCTGCAGGATGTCCCAGCTCCTCGCCTCCCAGCAGACTACCCAACTCCTTTTTCTGGTTCCTTTGAGGCTTTGAGTCCATGGGAAGGAGAGGGACCCACCTCCTATATAACTGAGTGCAAAGTTCATCCAACTTCCCACCTTTCACTGGTCACATGGGGCCCTCATCTGGACACCGTGACCATTTCTTGGGTGGTAGCACATTTGCACTGCACTTTCAAGTTGCTTGGGTTTAAAAATTGTTAGTACTATTACTGTGATAGAAATGAGGAAAAATATTAAACAAAACAGCAGCTAGGTGTGGTGGCACCTACCTGTAATTCCAGCGGTTTGGGAGGCTAAGGCAGGAAGAACACAAGTTCAGAGCGAGCCTCAGCAATTTGGTGAGGCCCTAAGTAATTTAGTGAGACCCTGTCTCAAAATAAAACAAAAAGAGCTGGGATGTGGTAAAAAGTAAGAGCTCTGATTCTTGATATTAACTTGGCCAGGGGCTATGCCAAGTGCTCTATCAGCATCATCCCTTATAATCTGGAACACCTCTTAAAGGTCCATGTAGTACTCTTATCAGTGTTTTGTAGATGAGGGGATCTGAGAGGTTACCCGTTCTAGTTTCCCTGGCATATATCTGTTGGGTCCCAAACCTGTTCTAGCCCCCGTACTTCCTGTTAATCCGTAAGCACTACTGTTTTTCAGTGTTTAGTCTGGGGTTTTTGTTTGTTTGTATTTTTGTTTTTTTAAAGATTTTCTTTCCCTTTTCTAATTGAGGAACGTTTGAGGCTAGAGTCTCAGCTCCCAGTAGGTCTGGTTGCCTCTACCATCTTGAGAGATTGGTTAGGGTAGGATGCAGTGTGAGATTCTTGTGGGTGGGGCTTTTCTCACCCTCCCAACCTTGGCCCCTCCCAGGTACACAGTGACTTTACAGCGGCAGCCACACGGGGTGCCATGGCAGTCATTGACGGCAATGTGATGGCCATCAATCCCAGTGAGGAGACCAAGATGCAGATGTTCATCTGGAACAACATTTTCTTCAGCCTGGGCTTTGATGTCCGTGACCATTACAAGGACTTTGGTGGGGATGTGGCAGCCTACGTGGCACCCACCAATGATCTGAATGGTGTGCGCACATACAACGCAGTGGACGTGGAGGGGCTGTACACACTGGGCACTGTAGTGGTGGACTATCGAGGCTATCGGGTCACGGCTCAATCCATCATCCCTGGCATCTTGGAGCGGGACCAGGAGCAGAGTGTCATCTACGGCTCCATTGACTTTGGTAAGACAGTGGTGTCGCATCCACGGTACCTGGAGTTGCTGGAACGGACCAGCCGACCCCTCAAGATTCTGCGTCACCGTGTACTCAATGACCGTGATGAGGAGGTAGAGCTCTGTTCCTCAGTTGAGTGCAAGGGCATCATTGGCAATGATGGCCGCCACTACATCCTTGACCTGCTGCGTACCTTTCCGCCTGACCTCAATTTCCTGCCTGTTCCCGGTGAGGAACTGCCTGAGGAGTGTACCCGAGCTGGCTTTCCCCGTGCCCACCGCCATAAGCTATGTTGCCTACGCCAGGAGCTGGTGGATGCCTTTGTGGAGCATAGGTAAGGAGCACACAGCTGGAGGCCGGGGTTGCAGCTCATAGTGCCCAGCCAGGATGTGGCCTCAGAACCTGTTTGATTCTGAGGAAAAAGAAGGTTTGGATGGTAAAGAAGGGCAAGCTGTGGCCACACTGTCTGGGGCTCCATTCCCCACCTCCCACCCTGGTCTGACCTCAAGCTCTCTCAGGTGAGAAATCCAGGGGCTTCCTGTCTCTTGTCTACAAGTGATCAGACCAGAGACTCAGCCGAAACTATTTTCTTAAGGAACATTAGAAATCTGCTATGGTGGTTTTGAATATCACAATTCCAGGGCTAGGAGATGGCACATGGGATATTGACACTATTGGCATTTAGTGCTTAGGAGTCAACCATGTCAAATGTTCCACACTATAACTAACCCTCTGAAAATGACAGTGGCAGTCCTGTTACTACTAACATTCTTGGCTGGGAGCCCTTCCCCAGCCTCCCACCCCCAGTTGCCTTCTTCCTGTTTGGGGAGTTCTTGCTTTCTGCGTGACCTGCCTGGTAGTTTTGCCGGGCTGCCATAGGTATGTGTACATTGGGCAGGATATGGCCTCATGCCTGCAGGGTGTCCAGTCTGGACATTCCTTAACCCCTGCAGGAAGCTGCCAGGCCAGCAAAGCTTCTAGATTCCCCTTTCCCACCTCCTGCTTTATCCTGTCTGCTCTGCTGTAGGTACCTCCTCTTCATGAAGCTGGCCGCCCTACAGCTGATGCAGCAGAAGGCCAGCAAGGTGGAGAACCCCACCTCACTGGAAAATGGTGGTCTCTCCCCCTCGGAGTCCAAGCCTGAAGACCCTCTGGGATCCGAGGTGGGAAGCCAGGAGGAGGGCGGCAGTGCCAGTGGCCTGGCCAAGGTGAAGGAGCTGGCGGAGACCATCGCCTCAGATGATGGCACAGGTGGGGCTGCTATGGATGCCAGTGGGGAGAGCCCTGAGTCTGCCCTGGCAGCTCATCTTTGCCAGGGATGGCTCATGACCCGGCCCTGGAGAGAAGCAGGCAGCCATCTCTGCAGGGAGCTGGGAGCAAGAGGCTCAGGGTAGCCTAGCCCCCCAGAGGTGGAGTGGGACCACCTGCCATCGTGCCATGTCCCCACAGCAGACCCCCGGAGCCGGGAGGTGATCCGCAATGCATGCAAGGCTGTTGGCTCCATCAGCAGCACGGCCTTCGACATTCGCTTCAACCCTGACATCTTCTCACCAGGCAAGCAATGGGGCTTCAGTATAGGAGTGCTGGCGGGTGGGGCAGAACATCCTGGGGTGGACTTGGGGCCTCGGTGCCTATCTGAGCACTGCCATGCCTGCTCCAGTGATATCTTTCTTACCTCTGTACTTCCCCTGCTTAGTTCAGGCTTCTCTCCTATCTCTCCTGCAGGGGTTCGCTTCCCTGAGTCCTGCCAGGATGAAGTTCGGGACCAGAAGCAGCTGCTGAAAGATGCAGCTGCCTTCTTGCTTTCCTGCCAGATTCCTGGCTTGGTGAGGGAGGGGCTGCAAGGGTGGGCAAGGGTTACCCAGAAGGGCTATTGCAGGACCTGGTATCTTGTGGGTGTCTGATTCCAGACACTGGAATTTTTGCAGGGGTGGCTTCTTCATGCCCCCTGGCCTGGGGGCATATAGGTCAGGCAGAGCCAAGTGATTGTCTCCATTTTATACATGGGGAACTTGATCCCAAGAGATCAAGGGAGGCCCAGGCACCCACTCTGCCCTGCTGAGGCTGGGGTCTGGTCCTCAGAGCCCCAAGTAGTGAGAGGCCTTATCCGCACAGGCTTTGTACCCTTGTGTGACACGTTTACTCCCATTTTAGTAGGAGCCCTAGGGTCAGATGGCCTGCTTGTCTCAATGTTGTCTCAGGAAATAGGGATAAAGGTGTGGCCCCCACATAGTCACCTACTCTTTCCCACATGGTCAGTTGGCCCTCAGTTCTTCACACATGGTCCGTAGCCCTACTTCCCTCTTGGGAGGCTGTCCGCTTCTGTTTGCTGTGCTGTGGAGAAAGTTGGAGACAGGTTCTCATGGCCTCACTGCTGCTTTGTCTTCCCACCTGGGAGCTGGGGTCTTATCCCCTCCTTCCCTCAGGGCCCAAGGACAGCAAAGCTCCCCAGGAGGACCCAGGGGGGTGGAGGCAAAGGGCCCAGGTTGGGGCCCTGACCTGCTGCAGCCTGCAGGTAAAGGACTGCACAGATCATGCGGTGCTGCCCATGGACGGAGCCACACTGGCTGAGGTGATGCGCCAGCGTGGCATCAACATGCGTTACCTGGGCAAGGTGTTGGACCTGGTGCTGCGGAGCCCAGCCCGTGACCAGCTGGACCACATCTACGTGAGTGGGGCTGAGGGTGGACTGTGAGATATGCAGAGAGGTAGAGACCCAGAGCCTGATCCAGTTTTCCCTCTCTAAATCCCTTTAGAAAATTGGCATTGGTGAACTCATCACCCGCTCTGCCAAGCACATCTTCAAGACATACTTACAGGTGCCGCCCTCCCCAGCCTGGCCAGCCTCCCTGGGTGGTGTAGGGCTTTGGAGAAGAGCCATGGGTTGTAATTGAGGGCCTTCATGACTTTGGTCATAACCTTCCTTGCAGGGAGTCGAGCTCTCAGGCCTCTCGGCCGCCATCAGTCACTTCTTGAACTGCTTCCTGAGCTCCTACCCCAACCCTGTGGCCCACCTTCCTGCGGATGAGCTTCTTTCCAAGAAAAGGAACAAGAGGAGGAAAAACCGTCCGCCAGGGGCTGCGGATAACACAGCCTGGGCTGTTATGACCCCCCAGGAGCTCTGGAAGAACATCTGTCAGGAGGCCAAGAACTACTTCGACTTCAGCCTCGAGTGGTGCGGGCATGGGGTGCTGGGGGTGCTGGGGGTTGTGGGTCAGGTTGAGGAGGTGGTGCTGCTGGTCTCCCAGACAGCATCAAAGGTCCTTGGTCAGGGTAGTGGAGTGAAGAGAGGAGGGAAGAGCCCGTAGCTGTGGAGGATCTGTGGCATGGGAAGCAAGGATGGGAGCATTAGCTCTTGGGCACTGGATGTTGAGCAGTGGGGGGACTCCTGGAATCAGGTGGAGAAGCAGCTGTCCTTAGAGGCAGAGACAGTACTGGGCTGCTCAGGACCCAAACTTCTCCCCCAGTGATTCTGTGGACCAGGCTGTGGAGACCTACGGCCTGCAGAAGATAACACTGCTGCGGGAGATCTCCCTAAAAACCGGAATCCAGGTGGGCACAGGTTATAGTGCCCTGGCTCTGTGGATCCCCCTCTTATGCAGGGCCACAGGGTCATTGGGGGAGGTGGCTTTCTCAGATTGGCAGTCTCTGTACACATGCTGGTGGGCTGGGAGTTGCTAGCCCTTTGAGCCTAATGCTGAGGCTGCTTGTCCCCCAGATTCTGCTGAAGGAGTACAGTTTTGACAGCCGCCACAAGCCTGCATTCACTGAGGAGGACGTGCTCAACATCTTCCCCGTGGTCAAGCATGTCAACCCTAAGGCCTCGGATGCCTTCCACTTCTTCCAGAGTGGGCAGGCCAAAGTACAGCAGGGTGCGTGGCCAGGCATGCCAGGGGAGGTGGGGACATCCCTTAGCCTGCTCTGACCTTGTGGTGGGCTGCCCTGCAGGCTTCCTGAAGGAGGGCTGCGAGCTCATCAACGAGGCCCTGAACCTGTTCAACAATGTGTATGGAGCTATGCATGTGGAGATCTGTGCCTGCCTGCGCCTCCTGGCCCGTCTCCACTATATTATGGGTGACTACGCTGAGGTGGGTGGCTCTAGAGTACTCCTGGGGTGCATTATAGAGACCTTGGATGAGGAGGAGTGAGGAGCCTGGGTCTACATTGTCAACCCCTACAGTACTAGGAGGTGGTGTCCAAGCTGTTCAAGGGATGCTGCTCCCTTTGGTGGTCTTATGGGGAAGCAGGTAGGATCCAGGGACCACGGGAGTCAGTCACCTGTTCTGTGAGCTTCCCTTCAGTTCCACCTCTCACACACTGTCCTTGGGAGAGCTCAGGGGCCACTTTTGTTCCAGTAAAGCGAATAATTTGGAAGGACTCAAGGCCTGCCCTTTCAGGGACACTGGCAAGGGTAAATTCTGAGACCCTGTGAGGAGTGTGGCACAGTTCCTGTCACCTCACAGGTGCCACATGGAAGCTACACAATGTGGTGTTTTTGTTGTCAATGTTCTGTGGCCTGGTTTGCAGATTGCCTTTCTGACCCTGGAGCTTTGAGGGGCTTTTTCAGGGATCGGTTTGCTTTAAATCATCCCCCACTGCCCTTCAGTCAGAGGGGCTATTTAATCTTTTTGGGTAGGCATGTTTGTATTTAAAAAGTTTTATTTCTAGTGCAGTTTTGGGTTTGTATGTGTGTTTTTACATAGGTTTTGTTAGAGGAAGATGACATGACAGTAATTTTTAGTCTGGTGTGATGGCCCATGGCTATGATCCATGGAATCTGTGATTCAGGGCTAAGGCAGGAGAGTTACAAATTGAGGCCAGCCTCAGCAACCTAGCAAGACCCTATCTCAAAATTTTAAAAATGTTAGCTGAGCGCACGCCTGTAATCCCCAGTAGCTCAGGAGGTGAAGGCAGGAGGATCGTGAGTTCAAAGCCAGCCTCAGCAATTTAGTGAGGCATTAAGCAACTCAGTGAGACCCTGTCTCTACAGTACAAAATAGGGCTAGGGATATGGCTCAGAGGTCGCGTGCCCCTCAGTTCAATCCCTGGTCCCCTCCACCCCTCAAAAAAAATTCTTTTTAAAGGTCTAAAAATGTAGCTCCATCATGAAGTGCCTTGGGTTCAATCCCTAGTACCAAAAACATAAAATAGGAGGCTTGGTAGGGTGTATACATCCACAGTGACAAAAGCTGGTTATGTATGAGCCACTCTGTATTGCTTTTGTGCAAAGAAAGAATAGAAAGCACAACCAGAGCCGACAGGCTGAGCAGCAAGGTGTGGACTCTGGTGTGGGGTGGTGTCCACCCTGAGTCTGACCACCCCGCCTCCCCAGGCCCTCAGTAACCAACAGAAGGCAGTGTTGATGAGCGAGCGAGTGATGGGCATCGAGCACCCCAACACCATCCAGGAATACGTGAGTAGCCGCCGCGGGTGGCCTTTGTGGAGGTGAGGCCTGCACCGCCCTGACCATCATGGCCTCACCCACAGATGCACCTGGCTCTGTACTGCTTCGCCAGCAGCCAGCTGTCCACGGCGCTGAGCCTGCTGTACCGCGCCCGCTACCTCATGCTGCTCGTGTTTGGGGAGGACCACCCTGAGATGGCTCTGCTGGATGTGAGTGCCAAGGAACGGGGCTACAGCCACCAACCTCAGTCTATGGGAGCAGGAACTGACCATGTTCTCATGTGTCCCCCAGAACAACATCGGTTTGGTGCTGCATGGCGTGATGGAGTACGACCTGTCACTGCGATTCCTGGAGAATGCGCTGGCCGTCAGCACCAAGTACCACGGGCCCAAAGCCCTTAAGGTGGCCCTCAGGTGAGACTACAGTAACCCAGACCCACAGGGGCCCAATGGGCTTTTGGTGGGGCAGGGGCGGAACCCAGTGCTATCTGACTCCTATGAAAATTTTTCTCAATCTCCACCTCCTCTCTGTACCCTGGAGTTATGTGGCCCCCCCACCCCCACCCCGGGAGGATCCAATTGATGGATCTAGAGCAGAGCCCCAGGTTCCAGAAGGTCCTTACTGCCCTGCCCACTTTCATCCTTCTTTCGCCCTGTGTACTGTGCCTCTATAGCCACCACCTAGTTGCCCGGGTCTATGAGAGCAAAGCTGAGTTCCGGTCAGCCCTGCAGCATGAGAAGGAGGGCTACACCATCTACAAGACCCAGGTGACCCATGGCAGGGGCTGCAGGGGGGCTGGGCCTAAGCACTGTGGGCAGCCCTGATTCCCTCCTGCCTCGGCCCCTGTTCCTCATAGCTGGGTGAGGACCACGAGAAGACCAAGGAGAGCTCCGAGTACCTCAAGTGCCTGACCCAGCAGGCCGTTGCCCTGCAGCGCACCATGAATGAGATCTACCGCAATGGCTCCAGCGCCAACATCCCGCCCCTCAAGGTATGATGACCCTGGGCAGCATGGCTGGCCCCTGGCCTGTGGGTCCCTGGCTTCGCTCACTGGCTTGTCCTCCCCACTGCCCTTCAGTTCACAGCTCCCAGCATGGCTAGTGTCTTGGAGCAGCTGAACGTCATCAACGGCATCCTCTTCATTCCTCTCAGGTGAGGCTCCCCAGAGCATGCACCCCCCCCTCAGAACCTGGCCTTTAGTTTTCATTTTTAATGTCATACATTGACATGGCTGCAAATTGAGAAGTGTCACCAGTGATGAGAGGTTCCTTGTTACTCCTCCCTAAGATTACACAATTGAGCAAATACTATGTGCATGGTATGCTACAATTTCATGAACAAAAATTAAAGGGAAAAAGATGGAATTTGGGGTATTTACATCACTTAACAATGTATCTTAGTGATCTTTTACATCCAGCTCCTTTTCTATTCCAGAGCAGGGATGTCCCTCATAAACAGACCAATCCTGAGGGTTCTCTGAGGATTCCCTCCGGCACTTATTAACAGTGCTACCTTTAGGAGCTCCTCCTTCTCCCTCTTCCCTCCCACCATTGTGGGAAGTGGCTTTGGTCAGCCATGGTGCTGCATCTGGCTCCCATTCTCTGCCTGTGGCCTGCTACAGGAGAGGACAAGTTGCAGCTAATTTGAACTTGGCATGACGGGGAGTGGGATCCAGGCCTTGCCTAAGGCTCTCTCCAGAGAAATTTGGGACTTTTAGCACTTAGGGACCTTTTGCTTTAGGAAGGAAAGTGCTTGTTATACACATTTCTCATAAAATAAAATAGAGCTTAACCATGTCCTGAGTGTAAATGTAACCAAATCCAGCAAGGTGGCAGAGGGCCCAGGCTACTCTGACCCCACCTTCACCCCACCCTCCCATCCTTCCACTCAGCCAAAAAGACTTGGAGAATCTGAAGGCCGAGGTGGCACGGCGGCACCAGCTCCAGGAGGCCAGCAAAAACAGGGATAAGGCCGAGGAGCCCATGGCCACTGAGCCTGAGCCAGCAGGGGCTTCAGAGGACGTGGGCTCCCAACCCCAGGCTGCCAAGGACCCTTCCTCCCCAAGCTTGCAGGGATAGAAAGGGAAAGACAGATGGACTGTTAGTCAGCCGCCCGTTACCCAGTGATCCAGACTCCAGGAGAAGGGGGCATGCCCTGCAGATCGGAAGAGGAAGCCAGTCCCTTTTCTTCCATGTTCCACCCCACCCCACCCCAGCATCCTCCTGGGACCCCGGCCTGGCCTGCCCCCCAACAGATGTTTTTGCACTGGTTCAATGAATATACGATGCAGAGGCCTGATTGAAGACACATGAATGGAGTGTGTGGGCATTGGTTCCAGCTGGGGGGCAGGTGCCCCTCAGGCCCCATCCTCGAGCAGGTGTGTGCGAGTGTGTCCATGCCCGTGAATGTCTTGATCCGTCCCACCTAACTTGTACATAGCCCCCAGTCAGTTCTGAGTGGATGACGTGCAGATGCGATTTCTCAGGTCATTTGTTTGACATTATGGCTGCTGCTTTTGCTGCCACTACCCCTGGGCCCAACCTGGCTTAAGTCCAGGTCTTAAGCCAAAAAAGGGGGGCTTTCCTTTATCCTGGGAGAGGGAGCCAGAGCTTTGTGGCAGGCTAGAGGGTTGGGGTGCACTTTAGTTTTGTGACAAGATGAGATCTGTACTGGCTTTACCAATTATGATGGGGCTTGACCTGGCTATAGCTTCAGGGCAAGGGAGAAGGGGGACCAGTGGTGGTGGACCCTCAGACACCAGTTGCCCAACCCAGCCTGTCTGCCTTTGGCCCAGCAGGAGGCACTGCCACAGGCTCTGACTTGCCTCCCTGCACCCTAGGTGGGATAACCTTGGGGGCCACAGCTGAATGTATCCTTCTCCCATTTTAACCTGAGCTGCCTAACGCACAGTGGGGGTGGGGTGGGCAAGGGCCTGGGGAACCAGGACTGAATCATGGATCCCGGGGAGAAACTACCAGGTATAGGAGTGATTGTCACCTCTCTGGAGTCCTGCTCCCTACCTGATCCTTGTCACACAGGCACCTTCAGAGAGTAGTTCTGGGGGTAATGGGGGCTTTCACCAGCCCAGCTGCTCTCGCTCCCTGCCTGCCTGTGTTGCTTCTCTGTGCCTGCTGTCAAAGCCCTACCCAGGAGGAGACTGTTGCCCTGTGAACCCAAGGGAGCTGTTCTGGGCCACAGCCTCTGCCTGGGGCTTTGCAGAGAGCTACTTATGGGTAGGGTCTGTCCAGGCACCTTGTTTCAAAGGGAGTGGGCATGAGTTAGCAAGAGAGGCATCCCACAGCTGATCAAGAACTTTTTCTTGTTTTTAAACCATCACGTCTTCATTTCACATTGGAATAAAGTGAGTTTTTGAAACCTGCTGCCCTAGCCTCCCCAGTGTGTTCTGTAACCCAGCCCCTTGTGTTTGATTGTAAGGATCGTTGTCAGAAATGTTACTGGAAGTTGACTGCAAATTAGGTCAAATCCAAGGTTATGCTTATAATGTCACTGAAATGGGAAGAAAGGAGGTGGAGACTCAGGCACTTAGCTGGGGCTTACCCATGAGTTTGTTGCTCAGGTGACAAGAAAAAAGATTGGAACGAAACCTGAGTGGGGGATGGCTGCTAAGAGAGGCCTAGGACCTGGACAGGTTGAACTTATTAGGTCATAAAAAATCTTACTGGCTGGGCACCTGCCCTTATCCCTTCACTTGCAGCAGGAAGATTGGGCAGTACTCCCTAGTCTATAGTGCTAGAAGAATGGAGGAGTGTCCACAGTTAGTCAACTTCTAGGCCTTCTGTTGTTTAGGGGGGCACTCAATTGAACCTAGGGGCACTCACCCCCTGCTACATCCTTTGCCCTTTTTGTTTTTTATTTTGAGACTGAGTTGCTAAGGCTGGCCTCAAACTTGCAATCCTCCTGCCTCAGCTTCCCAAGTCTCTGGGATTACAGGTGTGACCAACAAAAGGAAGCAACCTTTGTTTTTGCAGTTCTGAGGATTGAACCCAGGGCCTTGCTAGGCAAGTGCAATACCACTGAGCTCCACCCCTGTCCCTCAGTGTAGGTTTTAGAGCAAGCTCGTGGAGTGCAACATGAAATGGGAAGAGGAGCCCAACTAGGGGGACTTGTGGGACTGAATGTATTTTTGGTTGGTTGTGGTACTGCGGCTCAACACAGGGCTTAAATTAGGCAAGTGCCCTACCATTGAGCTACACCACCACCCTTGAATGCCTTTTTGAGTGCTTGGAGAGTCCTTAGTGTATTGGACAGCCTGAGAAGAAAGTTGTTTCCAAACCTGATGTCTTAGTTTTCCTGAGCAAACTTGGGGAGACAGCCCTGACCTGAGGCTTAAAGTGGCATCTAAGGCTAGCCATCAGTGCTTTAGCCCTTTAAGCCTGTTACATGTTCCCCACCAATGGTTTCTTCATGGTTGTGTTCCAAACATACTTCCTTCTGCCCCTCTGCCAGTGAACAAAGGTCACGTTTCACAGTGCTTGTGGAAATGGGGCATCATGAAAAGCAGAGACTGGCTTGGATTTAATTACCATTGTGGCTGCTAGTCACCTGAGAGGCCCATTTTTCCAGGTTGGTCCCTTAAGCGTCTTAGTGCTGTCAGATATGTTTTGTTAACCCAGATAACAAGAGGCTGTTCTAAAAGAAACAGACTGGAGGTGCGCAATCACCCTTTCTTTTCCCTTCTTTTAATTGGCAGGTTTCTTTTCTTTTTTCTTCCCTAGTACTGGGAATCGAACCCAAGGACAGTCTACCCGGAACCACATCCCCAGCACTTTTTTTCTTTTGGTTGTAGTTGGACACAATACCTTTATTTTATGTATTTATTTTTACATGGTGCTGAGGATCGAACCCCAGTGCCTCACATGTGCAAGCTGAGTGCTCTACCGCTCAGCCCCAGCCTCCCTCCCCAGCACTTTTTAGTTTTTATTTTGAGACCCTATCTCAAAAGATGTGGCTCAGCGATAAAGTACCGGAGTTCAGTCCCCAGTACTGTGGGGGGCGGGGGGTTAAAAGTCTCAGAGAGTCCTCCTCACATTTACTAGTTCATAAGGTGCATTACACAGCACAACTAGGTTAAGGGGAAAAGCTAGTGCAATTCAAGTTCCAGCTCACACCTTAATTCGCTGTAATACTTTTGGGTCCCTTATGCAAGCCTTGGTTTTCCTGTCACTAAAACTTATCAGCAGGGGGCATGTGTATGAAGTGTTTGTCCCTAGTAGGCATTTGTAATGCCATCTGTTGTCCTTCCCGCCTTAGTCCCTCCACCTCCACTTTCAGTGAGGGCCAAAGTGATGAACTCCCTGTGTCAAAAGTGAGGATGAGGGCTGCTGTTGTGGCTCAGTGGTAAGACTACTTGCCTGGTATGCGTGAGGCACTGAGTTCAATCCCTGACGCCACATAAAAACAAAAACAAAGGCATTATGTCCATCTACAACTAAATATATACATATGTATATAAAAATAAAAAAGGTTGTATCCATCTACAACTAAAAGAAATTTTAAAGGAAGGTGAAAAGGAGAAGAAATCTCAGTTAAAACCCCACTAGGGGCTGGGGCTCAGGGACCAGCAACTTTTGCCCAAATTTCTTTGGTGAGAAGTTGAATCATTTAGGTCAATGGTTCTTACGCATCAGAATTATTTGGAGGCATGCTGAAACGTTCCCAGGCTCTCCTGTCCTTGCTTCCAAAATGACAAAGCAAATAAGGAATATTAGTGTCAAAAAGGGCCATGGCCATGTGCAGCCTATTTGCTGCATAAACTGCGCAGTATGTGTCCAAGGACAAGGCCACCAAGAAATTCATTACTCAGATCACAGAGGCTGCAGCTATCTTCATTGCTTCCCAAGCTGTGTATGAAGTTGATTTACTGCATGAACTATGCCATCCACAGAATGGCGATCAGGAATAGATACCACTTGAAGCCCAGAAGGACTGGATCCCCCACCCTGATTTAGACTTGTGGTGCTGCTCCACAGCTTCCACTAATGTGGAAGGAGCTGAGTCTTTACTGAAGAAAAACTATTCTCTGGAAAAAAAATAAAATAGAAATCATACTTTCAAAAATGTGCTAGACTCAGTGATGGACACCTGTAATCCCAGTAACTCAGAAGGCTGAGGCAGGAGGATCACAAGTTGGAGGCTAGCCCCAGAAACTTTACAAGTGTCTCAATGAAAAGGGCTGGGATGTAGCTCACTGGTAGTATGCCCTCAATTCCTGGGGGGGGGGGGTATGTGGAAGGTGCCAGTGTGTGTTGGGGCCCTAGAATTTTGCATTTCTAATGAACTCCCAGGAGAGGTTTATACTACTGGCTCCAGAATAGCTGTCCCAGATGATTTTGGTAGATCAGTGGTTGAAAATTATCAGCTACAGTTTCCTCCAAACTAAGCAGGGAGAGCAGCAACACCCAGAATGTAGCACAATTTCTCACCATCTTCCACTTTCCTGTCCCTCACCATCAAGCAACAGAGATGGTCATGAATCCTGGGAGAAGGCACAATGTGTATGATGCACCATAGGCTTTGAATGTTTCCCATTTCAGGACAGTGATTAATAGATATTAAGGCTACAACTCTACACCTTAGCAAAGTAGTCAGGTTCTCATCCTAGGGTGAGAAAAGAGCCCTGAAAAAGGTAGGACGCTCCAACTAAGGCAAATTATGTTGTTGCTTAGGATCCAGCTTCCAGTAGGGAAGGCTACTTCCAATAGGAGGCAGGAAAACAGCTGGGTTGTAAGAAGAGCCACCACCTCATTTAAAATCTCTTTGTATGTGAAATAATGCTGTAGACTTCATGGCCACCCTTGGGGATATAGAACAGCCTGGGGATAAGGCAGGACACAGCACAGAAAATGGTGGGGCTTCTAGGGGTAAAGATTCTTATTTTGGTACATTTTAAGCAAACTTTCAATATTAAGGATCTTCATGAATCCAGGGTAAGAGAGGGTCTTTGTAGAGGGGGTTGTATAGTCCTCACTGCTTTAGCTCTTGGCTTCAGCTCTCTGGCCAAGCTGTAGTCAGAGAATGTACAGCTAGAGGGGAGGATGGGGCTATAGCTACCCAACACAGTCAGCTCTGTGCACACTCACCAGACCAGACCTCTACTGTGGAGCTGCTTCCTCCAAATAGAGGGAAGGACAGCATCAAAGCCATGGCTGGATGCTATAAAGAGCCTTCTGTCAACTGCTTGCTGCCCGGGACCAACTTAGACTTTGTTCTATGACTGGTCCCACTTCCTATTGACTGAATTCTTGCACCAGAACCCCCCCCCCAAAAAAAAAATCAGATCTAGTTTTATAGGCATTTAATAGTTTACCAATTGGTACAATAAGATTTTTAATATGCAGAAAACATGAATAAATTTTGTTTTACACAGTCTGAGAGCAACAAATCTTACTGTAAAACACAAGAGCAATATTATATACATTCCTTTACTGATTTTTTTTTTAATTGTGTCAATATCTTCAGTTAACTCTTACAATCTGGGGAACTGTTTTCTCCAATTACCACCTCTACAATGTTCATATGAAATCAATGCTTGCCTTCATGTCAGTGTCAGGATCAGATTATAACTCGAAGATTTTGTATTTATTTCTAACATCTTCAGAGTGAACTTTAGGGATGCCTGAAGGATGGGCAGGACAGGAAAGCAGCTACTTACATGATATAGTGGAAAGATAAAAAGGCTAGTTCAGTTCAGTCCAGTTGTGACTTGTAAATCCAGCTTGCCCCCCCACCCCACCCCACTGGAAACAAAACAAAACCTTTTTCCACCAATTTTGTACATATCGCTTCTCTACCAGGAGATTCTTTGCATCACCTAGATTAATCAACACATTGGATTTATATACAGCTGGACAGAAAAAGTAACCATTTTAAGTGCCTTTTCCTTCAAACACTTTCAACTTCAGTTGCTTAAGGATTATCAAGCCACCACTGTCAACAAACAAAAATGTGTCCTCTATTTTTAAATAGTTTTTCTTTAAATTTAAAAAAAAAAGAAAGAAAGAAAAGAAATTATTTGATGAGTGATATTACCTGGAAGTTCACACAGAAACAGAAAGAGGCAAACAGGAAAGCAGGGCACTGACAGTAAGGAGACTGGGCTTGGTGAATCTAGAGCCAAAGCTTCCAAAGGATTATAGCACGCTCCACAGCCCAGGACGACTTGCTAACACTAGTGATTTCAGATAGTGCTCTGGGCACACCATTGGTCACACCATACAGACAAAACAGGACGGTCTTAGTCTCCTAAAGTGCAAGATGCCATGTCAAAACAGCAACTATTCTTCAAGTGATGCCTTAACCAGTTTTTGTGGCTTGCACTTGCAAGAGTGCAGCCAGAATTTCTTGGGCACATTATATTAGGGTGGCACTGGAATGTCTGTTTTCACACATACACAATCGCACACACACACACACACACAGTCAATAATCATCTGAGGATGCAATTCTACCAGCTTTTTATTTCTTAAATAAGTGGCCAATTTGAGAAAGTGACAAAGCAGCAGTGAACCTCTAAACCAATTAATAGTCCTCTACTTACAATCCAAACCAGTAACCTCATCATTGTCCTTATCCCAGGCAAGGCACAGGGTTAGACAGCAGACGGAGAAAACAGAACACAGAGTAAGAAAGGGCATCGACAGGGCAGTGTCAAACAACAGTGCAGGGAACCTCTGCAAATCTGACTCCAGATTGTGGATGGATTGCCCTCCCCCACCCCCCTTCATGATTTAAACAGGGCTTGTTACATTTGGATCCAATTGTGGACCATCCCTGAGATTCAATGTTCGCTGCTTCTTAAATGGACGATGTCTGGTAACTCAACTAAGCAGCAGGCTGTGGCAATCTCCCAAGTAAGGATAACTTTGTTTATAGAGTAATTGTTTCTCCTCCTTTGTCAACGACAGTCACTGTATGCTGCAGGGGAAGAAACCCAGCGAACAGCAGCTTTGTTTCCTCTACATCGGTACCATATTTCTTTTATCAATATCTGTGAGTGATTTCTAGATGTTGTGGCTTACCCTTAAACAATTCATGTTGCTACATGCTAAAAATGAATTAATACAGGACATTTATACATGTACAAACAAATGTTAAGATGCACCATTTCTATGTATTTATATTTCTTGAAATAAGACAGGAAATAGCAGCAAATGAGAACAAAGATAATTTCCATAGCATCTGTAGAAAAATCTAGTCAGAACAGCCAAGGGAAAGAAAAGATTTCTCAATGTAAGCAGGGTTATGAGGCAATATTGTCCTGAAAATTAACCTACTATATTTAAGGAATTGACTAAAGATGTAATTTTTGTCCTTAAAAATAGCTATTAGTTCTCAAAACACTTTCCCTTCCAGAGACATTTCTCAGGAATTATTAAAAACAAAGAAGTAAACAAACAAGACACACGCTAGACATTAAGCTGCTTCTAGTTAATATATATGGCCTATTCTGTGTGTGTACCTACAGGACATTAACTCTCACCCTTTGTCTTGAAATTTTTAGGAACCAAATTTCCATTAAATACTAAAAGGGACATTTGAAAAACATCCTATATTACACAAATTGAATAAAATGTAATTCAGAAAAAATAAATCTTGGTTAAACTGTCATTATTTCATTGCTTCTATTAACTTTTCAAATGACTCTCATTTTAAAAAAAAGGAAGAAAACTGTTGTTTAGCTAAGCAATGGAATTCTTTATTAATAATTGACAATGGAGTGGTGTTCCAAGTCATGGATAAAAATTCTTAAACCTACTTAGTAATAACTTTGGATCAAAATATACAATATATCAGGGATGTGTAAAATGCTGAATGGCCACATTAAGGGGGGAAATAAAGGAAGTGATTTTCCTTTAGCTGGGAAAAATTCCCACAGAACCAGTTTTCAGAAGCATTGGGATCAAAAAGAATTTGTTCTAAAGCATGGTTGTGGTATTCCAAGATTTATTCTAGTTGAAACTTTTAGCACTTCTAAAACATGGAGGTTCTATGTGTTTCATATAGATATACAGACTTACCCACTTCATAGGCCCATATACTTACAAAACATTTATATATAAACAAAAGGTGAAAAAAACAGTACAATTTTATGCACACTCCATTAAATCCTGTCAATTTTTTTTTAACTTGCAAGTGAAACAATTCAAATTGTTAATTCGTGTTGAAAAACAAACTGCTGTTATTTCTCTCACTCCTTTAATATGGGCAAACATAACCTTTTCAATATTTCTATCATTATGTAATGCACATTGCACATCCCTAAAAAACATCAAAAACAAAGTGATTTGTATCATGACACTCAATGGGAAGATTAAATTCTACTTGGAAATCACATCACTATACAGTCTAATAGTATGGAGAATACAACTAGAAGTATGTCTAGTGTGGAAAATAGAAGCTTAGAATAGAGTGTTTTTTTAACCTGTTTACAAAGAAGACCCAAATGAAAGAAATGATTTGCTATTAGCTGCTGAGATTTTTCTTACTCAAGATTTACAATCATTTTCTTACATAAATATACCACTAGCCTTTGCTTGATAGGCTGCCAAAACAAACATATCCTATTGATTTGGCAAATGGGTCATGACAAAAATTCCAATGTGTAATCCCCAGTAATTACATAGATGGTTCAGAAGATTCTGTTATCTAACATCCTTAAAGATTTATTAAGCACACTTAAGTGATGTTACATAGATACACATTTCAGAAAAGCCCTAATAACCACCACTTTTCCCCAAATGAGGCCATCAAGTCAGGCACCAACAGATAGCAGAAAGAAAAACAGGAATTAATAATCCAACATAAAACGACACTGTCAACTATTCAGTTTAGTGCCCTAGTTCAATTTATTAAACTTCTGCCTTCGTAGGCCTGGTGTGACCAATGCCAGCCCAGGTTTTTAAACCCTATGGTACTTCTAGACAACGTATGTAAATTTACAGTATACAATTTGGATTCACCATGCATGAATACTTTGTGTGTAACATTTAATAAGCTCAATCTACATCCAGAATAATTTACATGAAAGGACAATATTTATTTAAACAGAGCTCAATGGGGTAACCATGGTATCATCAGAGTGCATCCAGAGGAAAAAAGGGAGGAGGGGCCAAGTGAGACTCAATCAACGGCACTCCCACACCTTTACTGTTTGATCTACACTGCCAGTAACCACATAGGGTGCCGTCTTGTGGAAATCTGGAAGAAAAAGAAAAGGCTTGCTTTCAAATCAGATCAGGACACAAATAAGCAAATCCAAGTGCCAAGAATATTCATGTTTCTCTGTACATACAAATCTACATTCCTAAAAGACACCAAGCATACCAACTGAGTTAGGGAGAAGACTCAATGATTAAATTCTTTTTTTTAATGTATTTTTAATTGTCAATGTACCTTTATTTTATTTATATGTGGTGCTGAGAATCAAACCCAGTATCTCACACATGCTAGGCAAGTGCTCTACCACTGAACCACAACCCCAGCCCCTCAATGGTTAAATTCTATATTAACACTTCAGTGAAAACGCACTGGCCTAATCCAAAATAGGGTTCAGATCTTATTTATAAAGATAGTTCTACCATATCCATTTATTATTGAATATGATGTTCCAGGCTTAGTACTAATGCTTTATGTTCATGTTTAATCCTTCAAATATTACTGTGACGTAGTCAATGGCCCTATTTTACAAAGGCTTTATGTTCACCATTAGGTTTACTGCGTTCCAGTGTATAATAACTTACTGTATTCACTATTTTAAATTCCAGATTTGAGTTCAGATGATAATTCCCTGAGTTCCTAGTACACAGTACCACCTGCCACAGGGAAAGCCTTCTTTTGAGTAGTTTACAAACTAGTAGTAGAGAAAAATTAACCTTTAGGAGTGTTAATTTTCAGTAAGTATTCTTTTCACAATTCTATTTTCAAAAATAAATCCTCTATGATGAAGAAAGTAATTTCTTTATTATAAGGCTAATGATGAAAAGAGGAATTTAAAGCAATGATAGGACTCCACAGTTTTAATCTGTTTATTCTATTCGGCCCTGAAAGCACTGTGGTCATCTTACCTGGAAAAGTCCACAGTTACATAAAACTTTGCTACATCTGGCACTCCAAAATTTAATAGAAACTTCATAACTGTACATACCCAAAGAGGTAACAAAGTGTTCATGCGCATTGAGGGTCTTCATGCATCTTTTGTTCTTGTAATCCCATACACGTAGGGTCTTGTCATCAGCACAACTCAAAATAAATTTCCCCCCAGAATGGAAAAGAACTCCACGTACCCAGTTATCATGACCCACCTTAAAGACAAAAAGGTATTTGACTAGTAAAAGGGTAAATTGTTTTAAGCAGCATCTATGACTAATACATTATTACAGTGAAACTACGTATACCAGTATTCCCGAAAAATGAGACTGACCATTAAATGTTCTCACCATGAAAATGCTTACTATCTCAACAGGGCAAATCAATAAAAATCTTTACACTGGAAATACTGGAGCAAATTAATACAAATCTTTTTAAAAAATGGCTATGTGGGCATCATGAGTGAACCAACATGAACAGCATAAACCTACATTAAGAACATAGAGGTTGCTGGGCACAGTGGCACACACCTGTAATCCCAGTGGCTTCGGAGGCTGAGGAAAGAGGATCACAAGTTCAAAGCCAGCCTCAGCAACTTAGCAAGACCATGTCTCCAAAAATAGTAAAGTCTGGGGATGCGGTTCAGAGGTTAAATGCCCTTCAGACCTCCCCCTATCCCCCCAAAAAGAATGTAGAGGCTGAGGACAGCTCAGTGGTAGATCATGTGTTTATTAGCATGCACAAGGCCCTCGTGTCAATCCCCAGCATGAAAAAAATAAGATGAATTGTATTAAATATTCTTTTTGTTTTGGTTGTGCTAGGGATTGAAAACAGGGCCTCATGCATGCAAGGTAAGCATTCTATTACTGAGCTATTCACCCTTCACTGGAAACTCTATATCCAAAAACAAAAAAATCATAAAACTTTTAAAAAATGTTAAAAGAAAAAACCCACAATATTATATACACCAAAAAATATGAACACCATAAAAGACCAAAAAAGGGGGTGTGGGGGGGAATAAGTTTAGGAATTCTAGATTAAAGGAAACCAAAATTAACAGGACAGGACCAGAAAATGCAATGTGTGATCCTAGACTCGATCTCAGGGATTAAAAAAAGTTATAAGGGACATTGTTGGGATAACTAAAGAAAATTTGACTATGCAGTGTTACCAATGTTAAATTTCTTATATGTGACTAATTTTATTGTGATTGTATACCTTTTTTCTTAGGAAATACAAATTAAAGTATGATGACATCTATAGGAACTGTCAACTGGTTTACCGAAGTGCACAACACATACAAATTACTAACTGGTGACTTTAGGTGAAGAATATATAAGGCATTTATTATATATCTATCCATCTGTTTATCTCCTGTCCCAATAGTTCTTTCCAGAAATAATTAAGGGTATGAGATTTAGTTAATAAACATGTTCATCAAAAGACTGTAAACCAGGTGGCAAGAGTACACACCTATAATCCCAGTGACTTGGGAGACCAAGTTAGGTTCAAGGTCAGCCTTGGGAATTTGGCAAAATCCAGCCTAGATATAAAAAGGGCTGTGGATATAGCTCACTGGTAGTGCACCCCTGGGCTCAATCCCTGGTACTGCAGTGGGGGCGGGGGGTGCCTCTAAAACTCTTTGTAAATCAAGTGTCACATACTTTCTAAGTTTGCTACAAAGCAATATATATGGTATACCATTTTTATAAAAACATCACTTATCTATTTATGCATTAATTTAAGAAACAGATTACAGTACCTACCATATTAGACAATGCACATATAGAATTTCACTGTGGAAAGTTACACTGGACAGCAAGTCTAGAAAAATACACTTGGAAGGCATTATCAAGTATGGTAGAACTGATCTGAAGGTGATTTTTATTTTCTTGTTTTAGCTTTTCTGTTTATTTCTACATTTTTCCACAATGGCAATGACTACACTGCTTTTATATAAAATGTAAAAAAGAACTTTTTTTTTTTTTTGAAGACAGTAAAGTAATAGGTCTTTTGTCTTGATTTACTCTTCCTTACTTGTCCTTGTTTAAAATACTCTATTACCCTGACCTATAAAAAAATTACCAACCACTAGAGTTGTAAAAGCCTCTACAAGGCCAGGCATGGTGGCACACACCTGTAATTCCAGAGACTCAGGAGGCCAAGGCAGGAGGATCCTGAGTGCAAGGACAGCCTCAGCAAATTAGTGAGGCCTCAAGCAACTGAGTGAGACCTTATTTCAAAATAAAAATGAAAAGGGCTGGGGATATAGCTTAGTGATAAAGTGCCCCTGGGTCCAATCCTCAATATCAAAAGAAAAAAAAAAAAACACAGCCTCTACAAAAAGTCAAATCACATTTCTTGTGGCCATACGAAAATAAAGCAGGAAAAAAGTATCAGGACCTGAAAAGGATCCAGAAGCCTCCTATGGAAATTCATGTTGTCCTGGCTATTACAGATGACAGAGCATTCTTCCTAATTGTAAATGCAGATCTACTTTTCTAACAGCAACATGGTATAAGTGAATACAGCTCACAATACTATGGGTTAAATTTTTTATTTTTTTAATCCCCTCCCTTTTTTTGGTGGTGGTGGTATTGGGGATGGAACTCAGGGGTGGTCAATCAATTTTTAAGGTGGCCCCTTTAAAAAAATTTATTTTGAGACAGGGTCTCACTAAATTGCTAAGGCTGGCCTTGAACTTGTGATCTTCCTGTCTCAGCCTCCTAAACTGCTAGGATTACATGTGTGCACCACCTCACCAATTTTTTTAAATCCACTCTTGTCAATGCTTCCATGTGTCTATCATTCTACAGAGACAGTCACTTTAACGTATGGTCAGCAACTGAAGAATCTAAACAAACATGATGTCAAGTTATAAAAACTGCTAACAAATTATACCCACAGAATCTTTCAGAATTCCCTTATGCAACCCAAAATATTCATAATCCCTTACTACCATTTATATATTCTCATGTGGAAATCCCAGTGTTCCTAAAATGAAGTATTTCCAAATAATAAAGCTAAAATAATTAATTTCAAAATGGTAAAAATAAGCCAAATAAACTAGATCATATCAAGAAAGAGACAATGTTAAAAGAATTCATATAAAGAGTAAAACAGTCATGAACAAACATCAGAACTGATTACGTCTGCAGAACTTTCTTCTCCTCCATGGGAAATAATATACAATTTTTAAAGATACAGTGATCTAGAACTCCTCCCAACACACAGACACCCTGCCAGCACTGAATACCTTTGTAGATTTTTAAATATAACACTCTATAAAAATAACTTTCATGCCACTATAACAATGGAATCTTTATCTAATTACAAATACAGTGACAAGACCAAAGAAGCAATGAGATTACACAAACTTACAAGGGTCATAAGGCACATGCCAGTACTGACGTCCCACATCTTAATAGTTTTGTCTCTGGATCCAGACAGCAAGAATGGCCCAGGCTTGCCACTTTTCTTAGTCTATAGAAAATATGTAAAAATTAATTTTCTCATGAATGAAGCTAAATAAGAACTTTAAATGGCATCCATAATAATTCTTATTTTTTAATTCTATAAAAATGCAATTTTATTTTTAAAGAGAGAGAATTTTTTAATATTTATTTTTTAGTTTTCGGCGGACACAACATCTTTGTTTTGTTTTGTATGTGGTGCTGAGGATCGAACCCAGGCTGCACGCATGCCAGGCGAGCGTGCTACCGCTTGAGCCACATCCCCAGCCCAAAAATGCAATTTTTTTAGTCTTTTCTTTTTTTCTTTTGTAGTACTGGGGATTAAACTCTGGGCCTCACACATGCTATGGAAGTGCTTTTTACTACTGAGCTATATTCCCTGTCACTTTTATTTTGACAGAGTAGTGCTAAATTGCCCAGGTGTCATTGAACTTGCAGTCCTCCTATCTCCACCTCCCAAGTAGCCAGGATTACAAGTGTGCGCCACCACAGCTAGCAGCAATTTGTTTTTACCTATTGATATACACAAGTCTTTAGACACTATAGCTAGGCTATATAGAAAGGACCCAGATAACACTAATAGATGACAGATTTACTGCTTTAGACTTCTGTAACTGGGATAAAGGGTATGTACAGGGCCCTGGGGATTCAATCCCCAGTACTGCTATAATTTTTAGACTATTTTTTAAACTATCCATTTTTTAAATATAAAGAACAGCCAAGATAAAAATTCATGACATGTAATAAGTAACACCACCAGAGGGCAGAATAAAGAATTTAAGCAGCAGGCAGGGAGCAGTGGCACACTCCTGTAATCCCGGCAGCTGACTGAGAGTTCAAAGCCAGCCTCAGCAAAAGCAAGGCCCTAAGCAACTCAGTGAGACCTTGTCTCTAAATAAAATACAAAATAGGGCTGGGGATGTGGCTCAGTGGTGCCCCTGAGTTCAATCCCCATCAATCAATCATTAAGCAAGCAAGCAAGCAATTGGGTAGCCAAATAGTGATCACAGAAGCTTCATTTAGAAAAACACCTGGGATTTCAGGGGAGATTTCCTCCTTTATTAGGATGTAGTTATAAAAATCTATGAGAGGAGGGCTGAGGCTGTAGAATTCTTGCCTTACACATGTGAGGCACTGGGTTTGATCCTCAGCAACACATAAAAATAAATAAAGATACTGTGTGCATTTACAGCTTAAATTTTTTTTAAATAAAAATTCATTAGAGGAATGCCATTAAAAGAATGTGAGCCAGGCATGGTGGTACACACTTATAATCCCAGCTACTTGGGAGGGTGAGGAAGATGGCAAGTTTGAGATCTGCCTTGGCAACTTAGTAATACCCACCCGCAATCATTCATAGATAGATAGATAAGGATGAAAATGTAGCACATTACAAGAGTGCCCCTAGGTTCAATCCCTAGTGTCACAAAAAAGCAAGAAGGGAATTTTTAACCCATATAACCTATTCATAGAAATAACATCTGCAACTTTTTTTTTTAATTTTTGCAAAAGTTTTGCAATATTTCATGGAAAGAATGCTAAGGATTGAATCAAGTGCCTCACACATGCTAGGCAAGCACTCTGCTGCTGAGCTACAGCCCCAGCCCCTGCAACTTACTTTTAAAGTATTAATCATAAAGACCGAAATCATTTATATATATAACAGAATTCCAGACTCAGCAAGAATTTTTAATGATCAAGAGTAGCAGAGGCTTCCATATGAAGTCTTCATCTAAAACAAATACATAGGGAGGCTGAGGCTGGGGCTGGGGCTCAGCAGTAGAGCGCTCGCCTAGCACATGCGAGGTGCTGGGTTCAATCCTCAGCACCACATAAAAATAAATATGTCTAACTACAACTAAAAAACTATATTTAAAAAAATTAAATTAATTAAAAAAATACACAGGGCTGGGGAAGTAGCATGGTGGTAGAGTACTTGCTTATTAGCATATATAGGGCCCTAGATTTGATCCTCAGTACTGAATTTTTTTTCTTTTGTAAAATTGTATATAAAAAAGTACCATTAAAAATTTAAAAATATTTAAATATTGAACTGCCCTTCAACATAAATGTATAGATAATTATGTACTTTTAAAGAAGGTTCTTCTTCTAAACGATAACTCTAAAATAACAAATGTATATTTATACTGGTTTACTCTTATAACAATGACATTTCATATAAACTTAAATGATCACTTTTACTCTTTAGGAGAATCTATTCCCACAACCCATAAAATCAAGGGTCAGTTGACAGCAATAATAACCACTGGCTAAAAATATTAACACAACTATATGTTGGAAAGAGTAAAGTGTTTCATGATTCAGAATTCTAAAGTGCAAGTTTTTTTTTTCCTCTTTCCACATTTTTTAATTGACGCACTGCAGTGTACACATTGATGGGATTTATTGTTACACATTCATAAATGCACACAATATAAAAATACAATTTGGCCAATATCACTCCTCAGCACTTCCTGTCTCCTTCCTTAAAGTGTAGATTCCTAAATGCATTAATAGACATGAAACAGAATCAGGAAAGTTGTCTACGGTTCTAAAACATCAACAATAAACTCGTGGAATGGTAATGTATATCACACAGTACCTCAGATCCTGTTGCTTCAGAGATGGAGGAATATGAGCTTTCTGGAGCCCAGGAAATGCATTCTACCACATGTTCATGTTCTCGGAGCTCAGCCTTGCACTCCTTTGTTGCTACGACCCATACGCGCACAGTCTGGTCATTGGAACAGCTGGCTATCAGAGTGCCATCCTGATTTGGCCGCACCATACGTACCCATTCTCTGTGTCCTGTGAATGTCTTCACACAGTAGCTGTCAACATAAGTAGTAATTTACATTGTGAATGACAATCATCAGGACACTTTACAGAAACTTTATAGATACAAAAATAGCTATACATTGGAATAAAGAGAACAGAACCAAAAATAGCTATAGATTGGAATAAAAAGAACAGAACAAGCAAGTCAACAAAATAAATCTAAAATCCTGGTTAATAAAAGATGGGCACAAGCTGGGCATGGTGGTGTATGCCTGAAATCCCAGTGGTTTGGGAGGCTGAGGCAAGAGGATCACAAGTTCAAAGCCAGTCCCAGAAAAAGTGAGGCCCTAAACAACTCATTGAGACCCTGTCTCTAAATAAAATACAAAATAGGGCTGGGGATGTGGCTTAGTGACTGAGTGCCCCTGAGTTCAAGATCTGGTACCAAAAACTAAAAAAGATGGGCACAGGACAGAAAATCGAATGCCAGTTAAAATAAGCTGACAGGAATATTGTTAAGGAGCCAGCCCAACCAACAGAATCTAAAGGATAAAAGATACATAGAATAAAATCTTTCAAAATTAAACAATAAACCCAGGGGAAAAAAAAATTTCTAGCCATGCTGTGAAATAGATTATGTGCTACTAATCTGAACAAAACCAGTCAGTTAAGATTTTGTGGGCTGGGGATGTGGCTCAAGCAGTAGCGCGCTCGCCTGGCATGCGTGCGGCCCGGGTTCGATCCTCAGCACCACATACAAACAAAGATGTTGTGTCCGCCGAGAACTAAAATAAATAAATAAATAAATATTTAAAAAAAAAAAAAAAAAAAAAAAAAATTTTGTTACAACAATCAAGTGTAACTTACAGCACAAATTTAGCCTAACAGGGATACTATCATAAACGTTATTTACATTTTAATTTAAATCCAGATTACCTAAAAGAATAAAATAAGTCAGCACATAAAATGGCTCTTAAGGACACAGAGTCTCTGTTATGTAATGTCTCTATGTTTCTTTTAGGGAAGCATTTGAAGATCAAACTTAGTTGTTTGTCATACAGTGCTAGGGATCGAAGCCACGGTCTCCCCTATGATAGTCATGCACTTTAGTACTGAGTTACATCTCCAGTCCTTTAACTTAAGTTTTAAAGTATATCAATAACTGGGCATGGTGGCACAGTTATTGATAATTATTGATAATAATCTCAGTTATTCAGGTGGCTGAGGCAGGAGGACTGCAAGTTCGAGGCTAGCTTTGGCAATTTAGCAAGGTCATGTCTCAAAAAAAAAAACGGAAATAAAACAAAAAAAACTAAAAGGGTGCACAAGTCCCTGAGTTAAACAGAGAGAAACTAAAAGGGGGCTGAGTATATAGCTCAGAATTGAGTGCCACTGGGTTTAGTCCAGCACCATCAAAAAGAAAAAAAAATATGTGACTACATGGTCATTCTGGATTAGAGTCAAAATTACTGAGCACTCAGAAAAAAAAAAATTTTTTTAAACCTCTTTAGTTGATGCCTTTACAACTTACCCAGTTTGCACTTCCCACATTTTTATAGTTTTATCCCTTGAGGCAGACACTATATGATCTCCATTGGGCATGATGGCTACTGAAGAGACATTGTGGTCGTGGCCTAAAACATATATAACACAGTAACATATTAAACAATGTAGCACCAAAAGCAACTAAACCTCAGTTTACCACTGGCTTATACCATGGTATTAATATATCACAGCAAGTTCTCCTCCCCTCCTCCTCAGGACCAAGGACTAAACTCAGGGCCAGGTCTAGATACATCCAGCATTATATACATTTCATAAGATATGGATTTACACAAAAAAGAAATGAGTAATTAAAATGTAACCTGTACAACTGTTTTAAAATGCACACAACAGTGTTTGAATATATTCACACACTTTAGAGAGTGATGTTTACATAATGAGCACCAGGAAAACATAAAATTTCCTATGGTTGATATTCTACAAGAAAGAAAATTAACATTTAAAATGCCAAACCAGATGGATTTTAAAAAATGGGAATCTGATGCTTTATTTGAAACACTTGCTGAGAATCATCTTTGTGTTGTTGTTGATGTTCATGCATTAAAAAAAAAAAAAAAGAAGGCATTATTTGATACATGTTGCTCACATTCTTAATGAGCTATGCTTTGTGGAAAAAGTCCCCGAGAATCCACATAAATATCGTATCACTTCAACAAATAAACAATAGTTAGAACAATCTTTTAAGTGAGAATGACAAGATATAAGCAACATAAAGACAGACGAATAACAGACTTTACAAAATATCCTCCGTGTAATCACAGCTTATTCATGCACTAAGACTACTAGTTAACCGTGTTTTTGTTTTTTTGGTACTGATCATTAAACTTAGGGGCACTCTACCACAGAGCCAAAACCCTGGGTATTTTTTTTTATTTTTTATTTTGAGACAGGATCTAAGTTGCCCAGGCTGGCCCAAACATGATTCTGCTGCCTTCCAAGTGACTGGTACTTCAGATGTGACACCAAGTCAAGCTACATAATTTATTTAAAAAAAAAAAAAAAATATTACTCACATAGTGTTTCTTATATGAAATCTAAAACATTTATACTTAACCATATTTAAGGAAACAACAAAAATCCTTATACAGTGAGCACCTCCTATGTATCAAGATGACTGGAGTTTTTAATTTCATTCTATTCCCACAACTTTTATTTGAATAAGATGTCACTACTTCTATTTTCCAGATGAAAGAAGTTAGAATTTCATAATGCTGAAAGCAAGCAAGTTGAAATTTGAACCCAGATATCTGACTTCAAAGCCCATGCTATTTCCACAAAACCACACTGCATCAGGAAAAAGTTTCCAAAACTGTTTGCATCTTACAAGATCTTTCCTTGGCTCCTTAAATGTCTGAGCTCTGCTAATCTAACAATAAGAATGAATGTGGAACATTTAAAAATGAGCAAAAGACCCTGAGATCCAGTTTTCATGATTCCCACACTGAACAAGTGAGGGAAAAATGAAAGAAAGGGTGGGGGGACACCCAATAACTTAAATCTCTAGGTTTCACAAACACCAATCAGTTTTTCTTATACAAAAAATAGTATTTGGAAAATAAGTTAAATATTCTATGTAAACTTCTAAGAGATACTTAAACAACTTTCAACCATTGTGGCTTATTCATGCATGAGATACATCATATTTTTCTCCAGCAACACAATTAAGAGTTGAATGTAGAATACCTGCATACTTTTAGAAACAATAATGCTCCTCTCTGAAATGTTACATTAGCAATTACTATTAAAGTACTATCCTCTATTCCTTACCATGCATGGTTCTAATGCATTCAAAGCCCTGAAAATCCCATAGTTTAATGGTCATATCTGCAGAACAGGAAGCCAGAAGCTTGCCACTGTGGTCAAAGGAAATGTCTTGTACAGAGTCTGTATGTCCCTTAAGAGTTCGTTCAAAATCTCCTGTCTCATAATCCCACACCTGTCAAGTAAAGAAAAAACTGGTTAACACCAACTCATGGCACCTTTCTTATTCACATTTGCATTCAGCAGGCCCGTTCAGCACCTTATTGACTAATTAACTGAACAAGGAACAAAGAACAAACACTATTACATTTTCAAGTTAAAATTGGTATTGTTTTCTATAGAAAACAAGTGATCAAAACAGACCTTTAATATCACATTTATTATCTACCATAGGCCTAATCATGCTGCTGTCAAGACAGCAAGACATAGACCCTTCCTAATGTGACAGCAGGTAATGTATCACTCTTTTTGGACAATACTAGAAATTGACCATAGCATAGCTATGGTCAAATTGATCACTTGCATAGCTAGGCAAGTGATCTACTACTAAGCTACAACCTCAGTCCAATATTTCAATGGTTATGTGTAAGAAAGAGAGAGTGAGAGAGAGGTGGGGCGGGAGGGGCGTGGAGGACACAGACTAGAAATTTAATCTGGAGTTTTGTGTAGGCTAGGCAAGTACTCTACCATTGAGCTATATTCCTGGCTCATAAATAAAGAAATTTAAATGTAAATTGACAAAACAAAAAAACTTTAAGGGGCTATGACACACATTTATATGTAGAATATTAGGTATTATAACAGAGTACTCAATTCTACTAGACTAGCAGAGCTCAGACATCTAAGAGGCCAAGGAAAGATTTTATAAGATGCAAATCATTCATGAATAACAAACTATAACAAAAGCATATATAAGTTTGATTTTTTAAAATGAAATAATGGTCACCTTTTTTGGCACAATACTTGGGTCTGAACCCAGGGATTTGCATGTTAGGCAAATACTCTTTATCACTGAGCTATATCTCTAGCCCTTTTTGTTAATTTTGAAACAGGGTCTTATTACATTATCTAGGCTGGTCTCAAACGTCCTGAGCCTCCTGAGTAGCTGAGAGTACAGGCATACGCCACCACACTCAGCTTACAAGTATATTTTCAATTATTCATTACTAGTTTATAGAAATACAATTACTTTTTGTATATTAACCTGGTATCCTGTGATTCTCTTAAATTCAGTCATAGTTCTAGTAGTAGCTTTTTGTGGTAGAATCTTTGGGATTTTCTATGTAGAAGATCGTGTTGTCTGTAAATAAAGACAATTTAATTTCTTCCTTTCCAACCTGTAGCTAAAGCTAGAACTAAAAGCTCTTAGAAAAAAACAGGCATAATGTTTGTGATATTGGATTAGGCAATGGTTTCTTAGATATGAAACCAAAAGCATATGCAAATAAAGAAAAATCAGAAACACAACTTTATGTTAGTGTACAGGATGCTTCATTTCCCCTTAAAGGCACATGGCCAGTTGTATATACCAAATGCCAAGCTTGGGGCTGTGGGATAATAATGGAAACCTCTATTCCAGTTGGGAAAAGAAGAGAACATCCCCACCTCACTCCCATCATGGGCTTTCAGGAAAATGGGACCATGGTTTCAAGGAGGCAGTGAATGTTCTGCTGTCTGGTTCCTTTTCCTGACCCATAAGACTGACCTCAGGAAATCACAGAAAGTGAAATCTTGGATAAAGAAGCAAAGCTAGGGGACTCAGTGCTAGAGCACTTGCGAAGCAGGCACAAGGTACTGGGCTCAGTTCCCAGCACCATAATTTAAAAAAATTACCAAACATTGTTTTTAAGGAATTCCTATTGATGATAAAACATTTTCATTATTACAGAAAACATTATGATGGACATCTTTAAATACTGAAAAAAAATATATGCACTCATTTTGTAATACTTTGGTCAGAAAATGATGATGAAAAGAGTTAATGAGTTAAAAAGCAAAACTTTTAAAGCCCTTTATATATTCTACCAACTTGGTCTCCCATTAAGATGGTTTGAAATGTAATGAGAATGCCTGCTTCATTAAAATATTTTTTAATATTTTGTTTATTTAGTTGTAGTTGGACACAATACCTTTATTTTTATTTTTACGTGGTGCTGAGGATTGAACCCAGGGCCTCGAACCCAAGCTCTACCACTGAGCTACAACTCCAGCCTTCATTAAAATCTTATCACTGGATATTCTTGTTTAAAAGATAACTTGAGATACACACACACAAAAGTAATCCTAATTTATATATTTCTATTAGTATTAAGGTCAAAACTATTATTATGGTTGATTAGCCACTGCTGCTTCTTTCAATAGTTATCTGTTCCTGTTCAATATACATTTTTCTACTAAGATGCTACTACTTTTCATATTTGTGTGGATTCTTTATTATAGACAGTCCCTGACTTAGGATTTTTCAATTTTTTGATAGTGTAAAAGTACTCACATTGCAATTCTGCTTTTCATTTTCAGTACAATATCCAATTAATTATATGAGATATTTAACACGTTATTTATAAAATAGGCTTTAGGTAAGATGATTTTGCCCAACTAGGGCAAATGTAAGCTAATGTGTTTAGAGCATATTTAATGTAGATTAGGCTTTAGCTTAGGTGTGTTAAAGGCAGTTTTTACCTACAATATTTTTAATTTACAATGGGCTTATCAAGATGTAACCCCATTTTAAGTCAAGGAGCACCTGTATATTAAAGTGAATAATCTCTCATCTGCTTATTGAGCCCTTAAACATCTATCTCTTAACATCCATCTGCCAGTCATCATAGTGTTACATACATTATTTCATGCTACAGAATCTTTTTTTTAAACTATTTTTCAGTTGTAAATGAACCTTTATTTTATTTATTTATATGCGGTGCTGAGAATTGAATCCAGTGCCTCATACATGCTAGGCAAGCATCCTACCATTGAGCCACAACCCCGACCCCATGCTGAGAATCTTAAGACATAGATATTATTAACTCAATTCCCCAACAAATGAGAATTATTGAACATATTCAACTATGCTCAAAAGAGTCACAAAATTACAATATCTTTATATTATGGCAATTGGGTTGTTTGTCTTTCGCACTAGGGACTGACACTGTAACACTAAGCTTCATCCCTAGCTCTTTTATTTTTATACTTTGAGACAGGATCAAGCAAATTTGCTGAGGGCCTCATTAAGTTGCCCAGGGTAGCTTCAAATTTGTGATCCTCCTGCCTCAGTCCCAAGTCACCGGAATTACAGGCAGGCACCACTATGCCTAGCAATGTTATACTTATGAAATTCTGAGTTTTTCTTAGTCATCATTTAAAAATAACCTAGTTTGGGGTCTGGGGATGTGGCTCACTGGTAAAGAGCTTGCCTAGCATGTGTGAGACCCTTGGTTTAATACCCAGCACCACAAAAAATAAACAAACAAACCTAGTTTTACCACAACTTCTCTCTCTCTCCCTCCCTCCCTCTCTTTATATTGGGGATTATCCACAGCCCATTTTTGTGTTTTATTTAAAGACAGGGTTTTGCTGAGTTGCTTAGGGCCTTGCTAAATTGCTGAGGCCTGGCTCTATAAATAAAAAATTAAAAGGGCTGGAGATGTAGCTCAGTGGTTAAGCACCCTGGGTTTAGTACCTGGTACCTATAAATCAATCAATCAATCAGTAAATGGGAGAAGATACTTTACTTTTGTTTTGCTTTGTTGTTTGGTGTTTATTATTATAATTTTTTAATATAGACTAGTCGATCCATTCTAACAATTTAGAAAGAACCCTCCATCTTCTTTTGAGAGAATGTTTTAAAATATTTCTATATTTTAGAATATTATCTTTTAAATAGGTATCTACATTTCTAGTCTTTTTATTTTTTGAGATAGGATGTGGCTCAGTGATTAAGTGCTCCTAGGTTCAATAGCCAGTACCAATAAAAGATTAAAATAATTTTAATATTAAAATAATTTTTTTTAAAAAAGATTCTTTGACAATTACCTGCCACCCACCCTCATGGCTCACCAGACCTCAAGACAGAAGTCACCAATTTAGAAACTAAAGAAACCACATAAGGAGGGGCTGGGATTGTGGCTCAGTGGCAGAGTGATTGCCTTGCACACGTGAGGCACTGGGTTCGATCCTCAGCACCACATAAGCCCTCTCTCAAAATTTTTAATTTTGAAGCAAGGTCTTACTAAGTTGCCAAGGCCAACCTTGAACTTGCCATCGTGCTGCCTCAGACTCCTAAGTAGCTGTGATTACTGGAGTGTACCATTCCTGGCCATTCTGCATTTTACGCTGGACTGCTGCTAAAACTTCATTGATATAATAATCCTCTGATTGGACCTACAGTCTATAAAAAATACAGTAAGATTTACGTACTACTCCCTTCACTAAAAGATAACCTTTATCTTTTATCAAGGCAATTAAGAGATACCTATTTAAAAGATATCTATTTAATATTCTAAAATATAGAGATATTTTAAAACCTCTCAAAAAAAGATGAAGGGTTCTTTCTAAATTGTTAGAATGGATAAACTAGTCTATATTAAAAATTATAATAATAATAATTATCATTTAAATACTTGTACTATTTATTATCTATAACTTAAACTAATGATACTATGACTTATGCCAAGCCTTTACTCAATTTTATTAATTAAAAAAAAGGGGGGAATACAGGACCCCAGAGACACACTCTAGATTTTACAAATATTTTATAGTTTTTTCTTAAATTGTAATATTGAGAGTCTTAATGTTACTGAGCATGATTCAGTAAATTAACTCAGATATCAAAGGAGAGTTTAAACCAGTCATCCTGATAATGACTGAGAAACCTGGCACAGGAAGGTAAATTTCTAGCTACAGAGTTTATAGCCATGCAGCTTCACAAGCTTGTCAGGTAAGTAAAAAATTATGAAAAGACTTCTATGGACCCATTTCCCAGGTCCACCTTTAATGTGTCTTGCAGTACGGTCTGGAAAGTCCACCCATGAAACTAGATTAATTGTCCTGACTGTAATGGTCAGTTATACCTATATACTGATTCTGTGGTAAACAGACTGACTGGAAGTATCTTTTGAGAAAAAGACAGTGTTGAAATAACGGATTTTCCACATCCTTATGGATGGCAGCTATGGACCAGATGTAACTAACACCAACTAAGGGCCAGTTCTCTATGAGGGATCATGCCCTGAGTCTTAGCACTGCTCTCCTCTTCATCTATCTGTGTCTCTCAGCTTTGTCACAATATTACTGTTTGTCTGTTTATGGCTTTTCTCCTTCCTTCCTGAATGCAGCCTCACACCAGCCCAGGGCTGTGAGCTGGGCCCTCCACGGAGAAGAAACCTGAGTTTGCCGATTCTAAGGTAAATGCTGGTGTGGAGGCCACGGGGGCATTATCTATCAAGGAGACAGAGAGCCCTCTCGGGAACAATGCCTTGCACACACCACGTCACCCTATTTGGCCCCGGAGGATGGCTGGTTAGTCAAAGACAGGTAAGATTCCTCCAGGGAGGGACAACCTAAGACAGGCACAGTTACAGAGGGGCCATCAGGAGAAAACTTGGGGGCCAACAGAGGTGAGGCACAGAACCTCACCCCCCACCTGTGCAAAGGACTAATTCTTCTCCCCTTCTAAGAGAGGTCTCCTGCCCCCCATGGCTGTTTTACTCTCCACATCCAGCTCAGATGGAAACCCAAGTGACCTAGTCAATAGTGACTGCCTGCTCACCATTGCAGGAAACAACTGCAGCTATAGGAATGGGCCATGTCTGGATGCTTTTCTCTTTCTTGGTTCCCATTATTTTTTTCTATGCTTTTCCCTTTTCCTTTCTTCTCTCATCAGGGTTCTCCTTTGACAACAAATTTAATGAAAGGGGAGAAAACGTTGAAATAGCCTTCAGTTGCAACTAGCAGCTATGAACAGCTTGGAGAGCTTGAGGAATCCACGTTCCTTCAGGCCTGACAGAAATACCTGTAGGATGGGGTGCTCTGCTCTAGTGAGACGTCAATAAAACTACATACTCAGCACTTGTGGTTAACATTGCCAAACTACCGGGCCAAACTACCCTAACTCAGTAAGCCTCTTCCCTTAGGGACACAGACCCTTCCAGATTGCTTTCCACTACAACAGCAACCATTTAGAGTTTCCTCACAGTGTGGTTACATTAGGCAAAAGATGATTGGTTTACGGATATTATCTTGCTTATGTATGATTGACGGGCACGCCTCCTTTAAACCCTATAACAGTTGTGTACATCCCCAAAATCAACTGAGTTACTGGACTTCGACTTGAGGTTTGTCACCAGCCAGTTCTCAGCAGCTCCCGGAATCTGTGTGTTGATTCCACATCTCTATCCCCCAGGACTGAGGTAGCTGAGGCAGCCTAACAACAAATTGACCAGACCAGTGACAGAAACATATGCTAGACAGCAGATAAAAAACCCAAGCCAGCCAATTATGCTGGACTTTAGTGACTAAGACTACGTTTACCTATATGGACAACTGCTGAGAAGATTATTAAAACAGATTTTTCTGAGAGTATTTATATTACTGACAGACCTAATTAACTCCTTAAATGTGAGAGTTAAGAGAAAAAATGATAAATACCCTGTAGCCTGTAAGAATACAACTTATTGTATCATTAGTTATTGACAGCTAATATTTCAGAGCTTTAATATGCTGAAGTTAATATTCAGGCTTTAAAACAGGTGTATGTCAAGGAACCAGACCTAGGCAAACTGCTGGTCTCATAATCCCTGAAGGGACTACTTTAAATATTATTCCTTGCTTATTCAATTGCAGCCTTCGTGGCTATGTCTTAAAACTTACAATGTATGGATTTTCTTAATATTTGACTTAAATTACTTCCAAAATCCTTCATGGTCAGATAGTGCTGATGGAAGGATGAGAACTAAGTAATGATGTTCTGGAAGAGGCAAATAAATAATGTGAGTGAGCCCTTTGCTCTAGTTTATGGAGAGGCCTAAATGCCATGGTAATGAAAATGTCTGTTACTATGGCCAAATACAATGCGTCCCAATAAAATTGGGAAAAGATTAAAAATCTTCTGATGAGTGTTTGGCAAAGTAATAATAATCCGGATTATTGTGTTAATTGTGTTATGAAGATGATATGTTTTCTACTAATTGTGTTGTGAAGATTGTATGTTTTCTACTAATTCTTTTTGTGTTTCAATAGCAGATCGTGATGACCTTGGACCAAGAGTCAAATGACTAAAAGATAAAATTTCCCAGTTACATTTTTTATATATTAAGAAAGGGGAATATAAATACAACTGAATCACATTTTTTTCTTAAAATCTGGAACTTAATATGAAATAAGCCTTACAACAGAGAAACTTACCTAAACTTTTCTATATTTTAACTATCTTATTTTTCCATGTCATTTACAAAACTATCACTTTATTGTGTGTAGACTAAAGGCAACTATTATAAAAATAGCTTTTGTTCTAAAATTCCTTTCCAGATGAGTTTTCCCCCCTAAATTTCTAGTTTTGTACACCAATATTTTCATATATCATTTCTGCTTAAAAGTAACGAGCATACTTTTCATTCACTAAAGACAAAACTTCTCCCTATTTAGGCCCAAGGTGACCTACTGCCCAACATTAAATTAAAAACATTCTATTTTTTTCAAATTCACCAGTGAACTTACTGGCAGAATGCCTCTGAGGAGCTACAATGAAATTTTATTCTAATTCGGTCTTCAAAGTTCAGAATCAAACTACTGACACAGTTTCAAAGAACCTTTCGTTTCTCTCAGTATCAGGGCCTCATTTTCAGAGTCCCCCCCACCTTTTTTTCCCCCTTCCTAACTTAAAGTATTTTTTAACAAAAACTTACCTTAATTGTAGCATCCTCTGAAGCAGAGACCATAACACTGAACACAGGATGAAAAATGACACGAGTGACTGGACTCCTATGACCACTCAATGCATATTTTTCTGGTGGACGGGGAATCCATTCTTTTGGGTCTCGTTTCTGACCAAGAGGACCACCTGACGTAAATTCTTCTTTTGCTTCATTTAGCTTTGATTCTAATTCCATAACCTTGAAAAGGAACATGCAGTTAAGTAGACAGATTCTGATAAAAATGACATATTTGATATATTCACTCTTTCTTTCTTTCTATCTATCAATCAATCATCTATCTATCTATCTATCTATCTATCTATCTATCTATCTATCTATCTGTTTATGGTAGTGGGGACTGAGCCCTGTGGTATTCCATGACTGACCTAAATCCCCAACTCCTTTTTATTTTTTATTTTGAGACACAGTTTTACTAAATTGCTCAGATTCATGAATTTGTGATACTCCTGCCTTGGTTTCCCAAATTACTGGGATTACAGGTGTGCACCACCACACCCAGATTTGGCTTGATATTTTAAAACTGCCTTTGTTTTGCAAATATATGTAAAATACATGAAAAAATGTCAGTAATTTGCAAACCATTTGGCAGATTTATGTGAAAATTATCTTTATATATCACCAAAATGTAAGTAGTATTAACAAAACCAAAAACGGAAAAATTCAGTATATCTTCATTATTTAACTCAAAGAAAAATTTCAATTTACATTTGACAACAGAGTCTTCTTACTACTAATCAGAAGAACAGTAAACCTGTTTTCTTCTGAGACTGCTATATACTACTGTTATATTCCTTTTGTTTTTTTCTTTTGTGTGTGTGGCATGGAGATTAAACCCAGACAAACTATCACTGAACTATAATCCCAGTTCCCCCGTTTTTTATTTTTTGAGAAAAGTCTTGTTAAATTACCAAGGCTGGCCTTGAACTTGCAATACTCTTGCCTCAACTCTTGTGTAACGCTGCATCCAACTCTATATTATATGTTACTAATAGAGAGCTAATGTAATAACATAAGCTAGTATTCAAAAATCTACAATGAGCTAGGTATTTTTTTCCAAGAGCTTTTCTTTTTTGGGGTTTGGGTATTGAATTCAGGGGCCCTCAACCTCTGAGCCACATCCCCAGCCCTATTTTGTATTTTATTTAGAGAGAGGGTCTCACTGAGTGCTTAGGGCCTCGCTTTTGCTGAGGCTGGCTTTGAACTCAAGAACTTCCTGTCTCAGCCTCCTGAGCCACTGGGATCATAGGTGGGTGCCACCACACTGATTTTTCTAAGAGCTTTATATAGGTGAACTTATATTAGAACAGGGCTATTTATTTATTCTAACTTTGCCTATGAAGTATAATCATTTTAGGGCTTAAATATTATTTGTTGCTCTCATATTACAGGTAAAAATAAAAGTAAAGCTCAAAGATGAAAATGTTGTCTAAGAGCATGCTTTAGTGCTCTTTCCCTATAACCACGCTGATTGCATGAGTCCTTCTCTTCTAAAGGCACAAATGAATTCTTGTAGGATGAGTGTCTCAAAGTCAGGACTATACCGATTCAACATAGTCAATACCCCATGTTGCATGAGTAGCATGTATCAGTAATGATCTAAGTTTTCATAAAGCATATTTTCATTAGCTTTTTCAAGATTACAGATAGGCAATTAATGCAGAACAATTTGCTAATATGTTCAGAAAATTAATATATAATAACATGCTGAGTATAGCTAACTTTAAAGAAAAAAGATTTAGTTACCTTCTTTTGTAATCTAATAACAGATGTCCATTTTTTTTCCAAAAGACCAGCATACTTCTTATCTAATTCTTCATTCTAGAGAAAAGTAAATAGGAATCTTTAAACAAATTAACATTTCAAATCACAGAATACCATCTCTAAGCCTAAATATTACGAAAGATCTGATTATATAAAAAAATGTAAAACCATGTTTAATGCCAAGAAACCTACAATAACAAATAAGATTTGTTAATAGCTGACTGTTAACTACTGATACTATAATAAACCCACTCTTTATACTATGAATGATTATAAAAAGTCAAACATACCATATCTAATTCAGCTTCTTTTTTAAAAACTGAATATGCCTCTTCATAGCCATTTGAACGAAGATAATCTGCTATAGCTCGATTTCTGAAAGACAACAAATTCAAATGACTCCTAAATTTTTTTATAATACTTTTAATTTTTATACAGTGCTAAGGATCGAACCCAGTGCCTCATATGTGCCAGGTGAGCACTCTATCCCTGAGCCACAGCCACAGCCAACCCCTAAATTTATCTCATTCATATGTAAGAAATATATTTTATTTAAAATTCATAAACATGAAGGCACTCCTTTAAGAGTGCTCCCTTTCCAAGAGTACATGTATCTCTCAAATACACACTCAAACACACACACCCACCCCCCTTACAAAGCCTCAAGAACATTTAGCTCCTATTACACAGTATATCCATAATATATCTTATTATTCTTGGGCTTTTTTTTTCTAATTTGTTGCTTACCTCAAGCTGTGGGTACTCTACAGATAAAGTATGGCTTATATAATTAATCTATGACAATAAGCAATTAATTTTGCTAATGTTTACACACTACCATTCTCTTATTATTTGGTATACACAACTAATCAAGGGAAGGCAACTAGAATTTTTTGCAGAATAATGAATTCTGTACTGGGGACTGAAGCCAGGGGCACTGTATCACTGAGCTACATCCCCAGTGCTTTTCATTTTTTATTTTGAGACAGGGTCTTGCTAAGTTGCTGGGATTACAGGTATGCACCACCATGCTTGGTCATATAAAGAAATGTTTTGATATTTCTCTATAAGAAATAACTTTGTAATAAGTTTAGTATATTGTCATATAGAATGAGACATTCTTTTTCAATTTTTTTAGTTGTAGGTGGGCAGAATACCTTTATTTATTCATTTTTATGTGGTGCTGAGGATCAAGCCCAGTGCCTCCCATGTGCTAGGTAAGCACTCTTATCACTGAGCTACAACTCCAGCCCCAAGACATTCATTTTAAATTAGAACTTGAAGGATAGAGAAGATCAATTAGCAGGTAACTTCTTTCTCTTCCCCACCCCCTTTTCTTGCTCTGTGGGGAAATGACTCAACCACTCCAGCTCTTTTTAAATTTCAATTCAAGAGTCTCCCTACATTGCCAAGGATGCCTTGAACTAGGATCCTCCTGCCTCAGTCTCCCAATTTGCTAAGATTACAAGTATGTACCACTCACCCAACTTATGCTTATCTTTTATTCTTCTCAGAATATAAACAACTGGCCCTCCCTCCTAAGGCAACCTACTTCAAGATGTCACAATTATTTTGAACCTTAAATTCCAGCATAATAGAAAAGGTTTTTGGGGATTTCCTTTAAAATATTTTAATTAATTTAAATAATTTAAATAAGCATCCTTTCAATTACTGATCACCTCTATTCCACCCCAATACAACCATTTTTTCTAGTGTTTTATGCATTCTTTTTAGAGATATTTTACCTAAAAACACATATCTACAATCTTCTAGATAACCTCTACTTGTTTTTGAAAAAACATTAGATTGCTGATGGCACATAAATCTACTTCATCTTATCATTCCTTATCAGCAGATTTAAATCCCTCTTCTATTCAAATTATATTACATTCCATTATAGAGCAAAATGCTTTTATTACTACACATAATGCTAAGAATACCCTTGTATAAACATTAATGCCAATACCTAATGCTTTAGGAAATAAAAACACTCTAGCAGTATGGCAGCACTGTGGGATTAAGTTTTAAGTGAAGGATATATTACCAAAAATGAAAAACAAAAAGAGTAGAGAAAGATAATAGAACATTACAGCAAATATTTTATGTTCCAGATAATTATGGGCATGCCAAAGATTAAAGTATGATAAATAATAATTACAGGGTTATTAGCACATTGAATTTCCAGACACAAGGGTAGAAGAGAGATAAATTTTTATTATTAGTCTGAGTCTATGTACTGCTCATACCATGGTCTATACCTTCTGGTCTATTCTACCAATTCATTCATTACAAAATATCTTCTTTTAGAGTAAAATCTACTTCCCACCAAGTAGTAGTTTTACTAGTACTTGGGACTTCCAAATCAATACAAACTAAGAAGGCAATGTCTCCCCCATAATCCCCTTTTATTAAATATTTTGTGTTGTCGAGGTATTCAAATTTCAATAAAAATAAATTTCCTTTTCATTAGGATATCCCAAAATAATAAGGAAAATAAAAAATTTAAAAAACATCTATTTCTTAGCTTTATTTCCATCTTTTAATCTAAAATATAAATATCAAGTAAATAAAGGGGAAATGTCAAGGGCAAACAAATTATACACAGCAGTTGTAAATACTTAATGTTCCTACCTCATTCCACTTCTATCTCAGAGTTAAGTCCAAGCTCCTGACACTGCGAGAACACAGCACATAGCTTCTTATACTAAAGCTCATATAACAAATAACATGTTATGTATAACATATGCACAAACTAAAACCACTATGATGTTAGTGAACATTTTTTTTTGGTAAGGGAAGTGTAAATAAATAAATGATGATACTTTTTTCATGTAAGAATATTAAAAGGAAGCTAGGTGTGGTGGTATATGACTAATTCCAGTGGTTCAGGAGGTTGAGGTAATTAGATTTTGAGTTCAAAGAGAACCTCAGCAACTTTAGTGAGGCCCTAAGCAACTTAGCAAGACCCTGTCTCTAAATAAATAAAAAAGGGATAGGGATGTAGCTGATTGGTTAAGTGCCCCTGGGGTTCAAGGAAAAAGGGAGAAAAAAGATTAAAAGGAGAAAAATGCAAAATGGATATTTCTTTCTTTTCTTTATTAAAACAAAACCATCACTTTGAGATTACAATCACAAACTGAGAATCCCTACCAGAAAATCCAAAATATTCCAAAATCTGGTACTTTCTGTGTGTGTAGTGTTGTGTTGAGGTTACTGAACCCAGGACACCTGCTCTACCCCCAAGCTACACACCTTGCTTCTTTAAAAAAAAAAAAAAAATTTAAGTTACCCTGCTAATTTCATCCCAACCCAGTGTAAATACCTTCCCTTACTAATATTATTTTATAACATAATACAATATTACACTGTATAACTATCAAATTAATTTGTGTTATCATTTACTGCTAGATTTTCAGGGTGATTCTAATTGCTCATCCTTTTAAACAATGTTGCAAATAAGTAGCCACATAGTTAAAACTTTCCTAACATCTTTACATCTGAATCAAAAGATACATAATGGGCTGAGGACACAGCTCTGTGGGTGAGTACTTACCCAACACACCTAGAGTCTGGGGTTTGATCCCAGGACTATTAAAAAGAAACAGAGAGGGGTCTGGGGGTTGAGTCTCAGTGACACAGCACTTGCCTTGCACGTGGGAGACACTTTGGGTTCGATCCTCAGCACCACATAAAAATAAATAAAATAAAGGCATTTTGTTTAACTAAAAAAATTATTTAAAAAAAGAAACAGAGATAGAGATATAGAGATGGGAGGATGTGAAAAAAGATTTTTCAGGATATTCTGAGAATAAATACTCTCCAGAATTGTATCAATTTTGCTTCCTATCAGCAGTTAGGAATGTCTCTTTACCTCTTCACTTGGTAAAAATGAGCGGCAAACATGATTAATTACAAAGATTTGGATAATCCCAAAATGTACATAATAAAACAGCACTCCAAGTTAGTTGGGCTTTACACTTATGATTTTTTTTTTCTGAGAGAGAGAATTTTAATATTTATTTTTTAGTTTTCGGTGAACACAAAGTCTTTGTATGTGGTGCTGAGGATGGAACCTGGGCCTCAAGCATGCCAGGCGAGTGCGCCACCGCTTGAGCCACATTCCCAACCCTAAACTTATGATTTGTGTCAAATGTTAAGTCCAACTTAACCTTGTCTCTTGATCCTAAAATCATCCAGTTAATTTGGGGAGCAGAATATATTATCCTAGTGTCACACGTTGGAGGACTAATTTCTCTTAGGGAACAAAAGTAGTTAGTAGTAAAATAACTTAGAGGACAATAATTCCAATGAATATATATCAAGTGGGTGGGAAAGCTCTTTTTAACTCTTCTATTCAACCAGAGATATTGATTTTTACATATTTTCCATATCCATATTGCTCTTCATAAATGTTCTTAAAATTGAGGTACACTGATTTTTAAATTTCCAACAAAGCCAGGCACAGTGGTGCAATCCTGTAATATCAGCAACACAAAAGGTTGGGACAGGAGGATCTCAAGTTTGAGGTTAGCCTCAGCAACTTAGGACCTCCTTAGGTCCTAAGTCTCTTAGTGAGACCCTGTCTCAAATAAAAAATTAAAAAGGCTAAGGATGTAGCTTAGTGGTATAAAGTGCCCCTGTGTTCAATCCTCAGTACCAATAAATAAGTAAACAAAAATAAAATTAAAAAAAACAAACAAAAAATAAAAGAGCTCAGTGGTTTAGCACCCAGGAGAGGTTCAATCTCCAGCACCTCAAAATAAATTATTAAATAAAAAAATCTGCACACAAATATTTAAAACAAATCTGACTCATAAATTTACTTCTTTTTTTCCCCCTACCATACTCATGATTGAAACCAGGAGTCCTTCACCATCTCAGCCTTTTTTTAAAATTTTTTATCTTGAGACAGAGTCTCACTAAGTTGTTTAGGGCTTCGTTAAGTTACTAAGGCTAGCTTTGAACTTGCAATCCTCCTGCCTCAGCCTCCTGGGTCCCTGGGAGTGCAGTCATATGTCACACTTTTAACCAGTAGGCTTTTTTTTTTTTCTTTCTTCCTTTTTTGGTAACTAACTAAATACAGGAGGTGAAAGAAATAAATAGTTATCTGCAAGTTTCTAGTAGGTGATGGTTATGAAACAAAGTCCCCTTTAAGATTAAAAGCAACATCCTGTAAGTGTCCTTCTGCATTCTAAATTTTCTTTTTCTGAGAATCAAAACTGGAAGGAAAAAAAAGAGCCCCAGGCCAAGCAGAGCCCAGGTAAACTAAAACTGACAAATCCTCTGGCAAGCATAGCCTAGCTCAATCTGCATATGCATATCACCTGCTGGTTTTGTTTGTTTGTACAGGGAACTGAACCCAAAGGTGATTTAGC